ACCAGCCTGTTATGAGGCAACGTGACCCGCACTGGCTTATTGTTTGTTTGTTGGGGTTTAGGGGCGCGCCGACTACGAGGTCATTTTGCGCCCATCCGCGCTGGCTTATGTTCCAGCAGCGTGAATGCAAGGCTGTCGCCGCCACCGCGCCAGTCACGGCGCATGGGTGACGTTACTGTCGCGGCAGCTGAATACAGCGTGACGCATACACGCCGGTCCCGTGACAGTCACGTGACCTCAGCGCCTGTGGCCCCGACAGGAAGCCGCCCCCGCCCGCAGCCACACAGCTGACTGGGCGAACGGCCGGACGGTCACGTGAACACCAGCCGCCCCCGGCCCTCGGGGGGGGGGGGGGGGGGATAGCAGCTGGAGAGCACTGGGGACAAGTGGGACCGGTCGAGAGGCGATACCGCGGATATATGGGGTCGTGGCTCTGTCAGAGAGCGGGGCCATTATTGGCGCCGTGTGGAAAATGGCTACTCATGGAACATTCCAGTGACAAACAGGAGCGCTCGACCGCTTGACAGACATCGCAGTTGGTCTGGCCACGGCTTTCGATCAACGAACATACTGCTGACGACGTGCAGTTTATTACATGCAAATGCGGAACCATGCTGACACAAATATAACTACAACGAAACAAAAAAAATAACGACAATCACGGACCTCCATGAAAAATACAGAAGCCACCATTCCTTCCGCAAAGTACAGACAAGGTCAAGCGCAGCCAACTACGAGAGGAACAAAGAACTTCTCGGTGCCCATCTGTACTGCAACCGAATACCACACATCCAAGATGACTCATCGTCCACGAGGGGCCACCGCTCGAGAAACCATTACCAAGCTCCTCGGCGTTCTCCCAGAAGCACAACCATTCTCCGAAGCATCATCAGCTTCATCTCTCCCGGCATCTAATTAATATGGTTAAGCTCCACCCCGTCTGACACAGGCAGCCCAGCCCGCACGCCGCTCGGTATGAGTAGAGGAATGACGAAAAGGGGCGTACGGACACGATAAGCCCTGTAAACAGACTCCGGCACGACCGAGGCCGGCGTCACATACCCCCAGTGACGTCACAACATCAGTGGCGGCGTCAGCGGGCCGATTTATGAGGAACGGTTGGGATGAGTTTGCAGCACATCCAACTGGTCTGAATGGGAGACCGACGCGGGGTTCCGCTGCTGTTCGCAATGGTCCAATGCCAGTTTAGCTTAATAGCCTAAAATCATGACATGGAGCAGAATTACGAATTATAACCCGTTTGACCGCATCCAGAGACAAGCGTCGAAAATACGAAAAGGATGAAATTCTGACGAAGACGGAAAGTAAAATAGATGAAAGTGCCAAACCAAAAGCAGCCGTTAACAGGAGCGTGTGACAGTACCATTGACTCTAGGCCCGCCGCTGTTAGCTACGCCAGAAAGGCAGCCTCACGTCCGCTGTCGCTGCGCAGTTTACGCAGTCCGCACCGACTAATCACCCCACTCTGACTGTGCCAGGGCTTCACAGAGCAGTGTCGGGCCTCAAATATCCGAGCGGCCACCATTGCGGCTTCCCACTCTCAACACAAAAAGTGTCACACAAAACGCCCGATAAAAGCGCTGGCTGAATACGCACACCTCCACGCCACTGTGCTCCAAAACGTCCCGTTTCCGCCCCGCCCTCCGCAAACCCAATCAGTTACACGATAGCTCGGCTCCCCGAGTACAAAACGTGGTGCGGCTATTCTCAGACCGCACTGCCCATCTGACCGTAGACCGTGTAGGCGCGAGGGGGTCGCGCGCCGGATGCGGCCATTCCAGTCAATTGCTCACGAGCCGCGAGGGTACAGACGGTATGCAGTGGCTACGGCCGGATAATGGCACAAAGTCCGCTCCAAATTACGGGAATTTCGGCGAGCGCCCGGCCGTTGTAAATCGCCTCAGAACTGAGATCGTTCGACAGTTACAGCCGTCCTATTTCCGATGAGTCAAACGGCCTAATATAAAGATGGCTCGAATCTCAGTTTTTGCAGTGCATACCGCGAATGACACAAGTACTTCAATTAGCTGGGAATTCTTGGAAGTACCTTTTGAAGACTTCAAAAGGTACTTCAAAGAATTCCCAGCTTATAGCTTGTACCATGCTTATAATTTACACCTTTTCCATTTCAAACACATGAATATAAAAAACAGCCAATGCTGGAATCGCTCATGATGATAGCTTGAATCAGAGAGCATAAACTGTGGGACTCGCTCAGAAATTCATCCATTCCCTGCGCCCCCCCCCCCCCATTTCCTCTGCCGATACTCCCCTCCCCTCCCTTCAGCTCACTCACGGACGTCCTCGGCGTGGTCGGGGAAGTTGTCATCGTCCATCAGCAGCCGCGCGGTGATGGTGTCCACGCTGTAGCGGCCCGCCGTGCGGTTGGCCGCAAACGCCACCATCAGGAAGTTAGCCTTCTCGCTTGCCACGCCCTCAGGCCAGAACACGCGGATGTACTCGCCGCCCGCGCAAGAGCCCTCCGAGCTGGCGTTGGCTGGCACGTTGATGACCGCAGTCAGGGTCTGCCGGAGAGGACCGGGGCCGATGTGAACTCAGCTGGAGATGCTTTGATGGTTGAATAAACAGCTGGATATTGTACTTTAAAAGCATGATAAAAAGAAGGAACAGATTGAAATGTTTTCAAACAAAATGGTCCAAGTTAATGCATGTCAGCCATCCTCCATCCACACCCACCTTGTTGGTGGAGCTCAGGTAGGGGACCTTCATCTGTGTGGCCATCTGAGCCAGCACACAGATGGATGATCCAGTATCATCCCGGACCGTCCACAAGCCCTGCTCTGGGGCGGGTGGTGTGGGAGCCACTGTGGTTGTAGTGGTTGTGGTAGTAGAAGTAGTGGTGGTGGTATCAGGAGCTGAGGTGGTCATGACTGGATCGGTGGGATCAGCTGGGGTATCAGGGGCAGAGGTGGGAGGGGCTGGGGGATCAGTTACTGGAGCCGCGGGTTCAGCTGGAGCCTCAGGCTCAACAGCAGGGACATCAGGTTCAGCATCAGAGGACCTGGCAGCTGCAGGCTCATCTGGGAGAGGAGCAGGGGCAGGTGCCACAGCTACTCCAGTAGCACCGTCCTCGGCAGCAGCAGCATCCTGGCACAATACTGGTGAAGCTGTAAAAAAGAATACATTGTTACTGGGTTGCATACAGCATTCAGCACTGATTTAAAATGTTACATAAGCAGGAAACTGAAAACGTGGTGAAAATTGGTGTGTTAGTCACATTGACAAAGCGAGAAGAAATATAATAATAAATAAAATATGAAACACTTACCACCAAGAGCCAAGAAAAAGAACACCAATGAAATAGTTTTCATGGCCGATTTGGTAGAACCACACAAGCTGACCGATGCAACTCCAGCGAGAATAATCTCTAGTGACGGCTCAATCGAACTTGAATTGCAGATAAATACCAAGCCCGATAATGATGAGAAGCTGGTGACTTTCTCTTGTCTTGAGCACTGTTGCCACAAGACCTGTAGATTTATTTGACGTTTAAAGTCAAACACAGTTATGTATCATGCAAAATGGACCAACACGCGAACACAAATCTCTCCAGCGACCAACCAGCGACCGTCGCGAACCGACGCGGAATGGCGACGTTGTTCCCGTTGTTCCTTTGTTTTGTTTTTGGTCACCACCTCTATATAGGGCCTTGGTCACCACCGTCACCACCGCTGACTTGCTTATTGCGTGAAAACACCGAGCCATCCCTGGCAACAGCTGATTTTTGAAGCACAAAAATACTTACAGCTGTTGCAAATATTAATCGGAAAAGAAATATAATATGTGTCAACAGTGCTGTGCTGTAACAGTGCTGTACAGTGCTGCATCTAGGAACAAGAAATTGTGGAGCTACTTATACACTGGGCAACACCTCCTTAGCCAGCACACGCCTTGAAAAGGATCTGGGAGTCCACGTGGACGCCGAACTGAAGTTCCGTGAACATGCTGCATCAGCAGCGGCAAAGGCAACTCAGCTCCTCGCAGTTATCAGGCGGTCGTTCTCCCTCATTAATGAGATCACCCTGCCTCTTCTCTTCAAGACTCTGGTTCGTCCGCATCTAGAATACGGCAACCTCGTGTGGGGACCGTTTAACAGAGCGGACCAGCGACTGATCGAGAGAGTGCAGCGCAGGGCAACCCGACTGGTTGAGAACATCCGTCACGAACCCTACGTGCAGCGGCTCCGAATGCTGAAGATGCCCTCACTCTACTACAGACGACGTAGAGGAGACATGATATTCATGTACCGGCTGTTTCACGGAGGGCTCGATACCGACCCTGAAACATTCTTCACGCTGGCCGATGGAGTTACTCGTGGGCATCCATACAAAGTGAGGAAATGTCCGGCAACCTCGAGAGTGCGACGATCCTCGTTCGCTCTACGGGTCGTGAACGACTGGAACCGACTCCCGGCTGAGGTGGTGTGCGCCCCATCGATCAACTGCTTCAAGGCGAGGCTGGATGCACACTGGTCCCACTTACGATACACCATTCCAGATTCCGATTGATCCTCGACAAGCCAAATACCAGGAGCTCGATGAGATCGGGTACGACAGGCTATAAGCCTAAAAATCCCGATACCGTAAGGTAAGGTAAGGTAAGGTAAGGTGTCAAAAAAAGGTAGCTTTTGCATATGAATTATTAAATATATGTATTTTTGTATTCCTTCAAATTTTTGTGACTTTCGATCTTCCTTTAAATGACTTTATAAGTGAAGAAATTTGCTTGAATAAAAAACCATGATAAAAACCTGATTTAAATTGCAGCCATTATGTTTGTATTTTCATCCGAATAATATGTTTGAAAGACATGAAAACTATTTTTCTTTAGCCTTTACACAAGTTTTAGATAAATTGTCGAAATCGGTCTGACTTTCATTTCCCGCGTTTACAGGCCTGCGCCGGTTTTGACGCAATTTTGCCAACGTCGCTCATGATTGTCAAATTCAGCGATTCTATTGTTATTTTTCCAAAGTGTGTTGGAAATTAGGCGTAGATATTTTTATGCGGATGTCTCAGTCTGTTGAGTTTGAGCCAAGGTTTGAGCTGAGTTGGAGTCGCATGTAAGTGAACCGTTAAAACTGGGAAAAGGCAGGTGTTTGACTCACCTGTTAGACTCACCTGTTAGGTTTCCACGTCCCGTCCAATTTGGTCCAATGCATGGGGATGGGAAGGAAACCAAGAATGGCAGAGACGCGCCAATACTCCCACGGTAAGATGGAGTAAGGTACACGTGAGAGCTGGAATAGTGCGTCTGCTAACAGATATTCGGGAATGTGACACAGGATTTAATTGAGACATTGCTCGTTGTCTGCCTGGACTCGGTGAGCTTCACATGGTGGACTACTTGCTTGAAGCTTCCACCGTGACGCCCTCATGCGTCATATTCAAACAGTCGGCTGCCTAGAGCTTCTGCCAGGCTTGTCTTGAATTCGGATATGGATTCCGAGTTAACGACTTGATTGGGTAGAGAGTTCCATTCGCTGACAACTCTCTCCGAGAAGAAACGCGCCCTGGTATCGAGCTGACAGCGACAAGTCTTGATCTTGTACATGTTGCCTCGGGTGCGATGGTCGGTTGCAATGTCCCAGAGATCTGCCGGTTTTATCGGACAACGTCCTCTGAATATTTTCCAGCATTTTATCAGATCTGCCCGCAGTAGGCGTCCCTTGACAGAGTACAGGTTGAGTGATCTGAGCCGCTCTTCGTAGGTCTTGTCCTTCAGGTCCCTGACGTGACGAGTCCAGAGTCTTTGCACTGCCTCAAGTCTCTTAGAGTCTTCAACAAAACCAGTGTTCCACACCACCGACGCGTACTCAAGGACAGGGCGAATATGTGTACTGAGGACATGAACCATGAAGTCCGGCTCTCTACAGAGGGTAGCTCTCAGAAAGTTGTGGGCAACGCCACCCGCCTTCCTTGCTGCACCTCTTGCTTGCCCATGGAACTTCAGGTCGTCATCGACAGTGACTCCCAGATCCACATGGGAGTGTGTCCAGGGAAGCAGTTCGTCCTGCAAGAAGTAGGTGGGTCTCAGCGGCGCATGGAATCATCTCTGGAACCTCATGACGGCGCATTTCTTCAGGTTCATGCTCAGGCCCCATGATGATGCGGTTGTGTGCAGAATGTTGACATCAGACTGAAAATTCGACATGTCGATCTCAGGTTTGGTGATGCACATGTATACCTTTAAGTCGTCCGCAAAAATCTTGTACTGGCACCTGAGCTGGGTCGCTAGATGGTTTATATAGATAAGGAAGAGCGCTGGTCCCAGGATGGAGCCTTGTGGCACGCCACTGCGCACACTTCTTGGGGTGCTCAGGGTGCTCTTCACCACCACCCGCTGAGGAATTCTTGCAGCCATGTCAGAATGGTTCCTCGAAGACCGATGCACCTGAGCTTCTCGATGAGGACGACATGGCTCACTGTGTCGAAGGCCTTGGAGATATCATAGAGAATCAGGTCTACGATGTGCCCGTCATCCCACTGCTTTGATATATAGTCATAAGTGAGAAGAAGCTGGTCTTCGGTTGATCGTCCCGACCTGAATCCGAACTGTTCGTCTGCAAGAATTGAGTTTTCTGTCAGGAAATCGCGCAGTTCACGATAGATCAGACGTTCCAGGCACTTGGATGGTACTGATAGGAGGCTCACTGGGCGATAGTTAAGGGGGTCGAGACGACACCCCTTCTTGTAGATGGGCACAACGTGTGACAGTTTCCAGAGAGCAGGCAAGACTCCCTCTGACAGTGACAGCTTGAAGATCCGGTGCAGTGGTTGTGCTAGCTTCGAAGCGCAAGCCTTTAGCAGGTGAGGGTGAAGACCATCCGGCCCCATGGCGGAGTTGACGCACAGTTGGGAGAGTATTGTCCTGACGTCTTCTACTGTGAACTCAACATGTTCAAGTATCGCGTCACATGACTGGTGAGAAGCTGGGTTGGGTAGATCCTGATTGGAGAACGTTTCAGCAAACGCCTCAACAAAAACATCTGCCATCGACTTCGGGTCGTCGATGATCGATCCCGAAGGCGCCTTCAGCGGTCCGACTGATGACCTGTATTGTTTCTTGTGGCGCAGATAGGCATGGAGCAGTTTCGGGCTTTCTTTCAACTTAGACAAGAGAGTCTTCTCGTAGTCGATCTGCGAGCGAACGGCAAAGTTGCGGAGTTGTTTGTTTACGCCTAAGAAATCATTCAGTCGTGATCGGGTTGTTGGCGCTTGCTTGCCGTAGGATGCTCGGGCTTGTTTGTATGCTGACCAGGTGGATGCTCGTCGACGTTTGAGCGAAGAAGGTGGGTTGGTTTTCCATGGGACCCGACGAGCATTTCCTTGCTTGGCAGTTGGTATCAGTTGAGATATCAGTGGGCATAAGATGTCCATCAATCTCTTGAGTGCTTCTTGCGCAGTGAGGCATTGGAATTCGAAATCCCAGTCTATGTCTGCCAAGATGGCATTCATGTCTCCATATCTCCCTCTTTCCCATAAGAGGTGATGGAGCGAGGTGTGTTGCAATGCGATTTCAACATCAAAGAAGTACTGACAGTGGATGCTGCAGTGGTCACAGCCAGGAGGAGGAGCTTGGACCGACACCAGCCCCATTCGATCGTTCTCGTTTGTTAAGATCAAGTCAAGAATGTTCCCCGAGCGTGGGAATGTGGGCTCCGTGACCCACTGCGTCAAGCCGAGCAGATCGAACAAGTTGCTGAATCGGGTGTCAGATGCTGAGGCGTGTCTCGTCGGGTCGTCAGGTGAGCTCCAATCTATAGTGGGGAGATTGAAATCGCCTAGGAGCACGGCTTCCTTGTCGATGCAGCTACTTGTGAGAAATGATTGGAGGCAGTCATTGTCAGCAGCTGAGTATCAGTGTGGCTAAATTCATTTTACGTTAGGGGGAAGATGTAGAAAAAAAGACCGGAAAGGATGTCATTATTTTCACAAAATTTGACTTTGACCCGTTGTAAGCACTGTTTTGATACCTATGTGTCACGAGAAAATGATGTAGAATAAAACTATGAAGGCATTCTGATATTCGGGATGATACATGAGGTTTTTAAGTCGTGTCATATATTTGAACATTTTGGTTATTCGAATAGTTGCCTTGGCGTGTTGTGAGAGTTTGCGAGGTTTCTGTTTCTCTTGCTCCTAGACGTTTGGGTTCGAGGTTGTTATTATAAGTCATGGCTGCCGGTGGATGTTTTTATTTATATTTTTAGGATGTGATTATACTTTTCATTATGGGTGGATTTCCCCGCATCATTACAATTTTGGCCACACTGCTGAGTATGAAGGGGGCCTGTACACCACGTAAATGTATGTGTCGAACCTGGTCATGCGGAATGACAAGACATTGCGGAATGAAGCGTTGACATTGTCGATTTGAAGATGTTCAGCCACATAAGCCGCCACTCCGTGAGCTTTGGTCGTTCCGCTGTCATTTCGCATGAGCTTGTACCCCGGAATTTGAATTGCTGCGTCGGAAACCTCCGCTGCAAGATGCGTCTCAGAAACCAGGAAGATGTCCGTTGAAGAATCAAGCTGAAGTGTGTCTTGGAGAGAAGCTATCTTGCTGCAGAGCCCGTTCACGTTACAATGTACAATGCTAATGGGGTACGTGTGCGACGTTTTTTCATTCTGCCTCAGTTTCCCAGCTGAGCGCGATCAGAGGGAGCGTCGGGTGGGCTTTCGCCCTGTGCGGGTCGGTTCAGTGGAGGATCAGAACCTGTGACATTGTCCCTGGCCGAGATGTGATTGACTTGGGACACAAGTAGGTTGAGGTAGCTCAAAAATATTAATTGTTCTTTTGGGTTTGTTCTTTTAAGTTATCCTTAAGCTAATGGCCTTAAAAGAGGATAACGTTAATTAACATTATTACTGCTTAAAAATTACTGCTTTAACCCACGCATGACGGGGGGGGGGGGCTCTACAGGGTAAAAGTATACATTGAGTCCGAGTGGCTGTTAAAAGATAAAGTTTTCATATTCTTACATTATTTGACATCCTGAATCCAAAAATGATACTTATATGTCCTGGAAATAAAAGAAAAAACATAATCAAACCTGACCTAACCTTACCTTTTACCTACAACCTACCATCCTACAACCTACAAACCTACAACCTAACCTAACCTAACCTACCAACCTAAAACCTAAAACCTACAAACCTACAACCTAACCTAACCTAAAACCTAGCGCTGTTCGGCCGTGCACACATACGTGCACGTTGCCCCGGCAACGGGCTATTGACCAATGATAAGCGCGCTACAGGGGGGCACAGGTATATGAAAAATCGCAGTGACGTTGCACTTTCCTCGCTTCTCATTGGTCAATAGCCCGTTGCCGGGGCAACCAGCACGTATGTGAGCGCCGGCAAGAGTACTAGCTGGCCGCCGATCAGGGCCCCTAAGTTTTTTGCTGTTACATATTTGTATCAACAGCGTCACAATTGTCCACTCGGACCTAATATATACTAATACCCTCTACAGAGCCCCCCTACCTACCGTTTTTCGGCAATATCTTCTAAACCGTTTCACGGATCATCACGAAACTTGCAATACCCTCAGCGGCATCAATTTGACACCTTGTGTTAAATTTCAACTTTCTAGCTGCCTACCATAGTTTGGCTGGAAATGACGTCAGAGTGACGTCATGTCGGCCGATTTTGATTCAAAATATTGCATTACGGCAAACGCTCTCAAGAGCTTAGATTTAAAGCTAGATCCAATTTCTTTGCATCAGTGGACTAAAAATACACGTAGCTATCAAACTACCATCTCGAATTTTCGAAATTTTGAAAATTTTGAAAAATATGTTTTTTACAAAAAATATATTTTTAGATTTTTTCAAAAAGTTGTTAATTTTTCACAAAAACCGGAATATATGTGATAGAACACACACTGATAAACTACTCTAGCAAGTTTTAGCCCAATATCTTCAAAATAGCCAAGTTATTTGCATTATTGTCAAAATTTTACAATTATATTTTTTCAAAAACCATTTTTCAGTACGTTTTTGACATCGTACAGCAATATAATTGGCATCATCGTATTCCTGAGCTCAAACTGCATCTGATAGACCACTTTTTGTTGAAAAATTTCATTTTCAAAATTTGACCTTTTCTGACCTGAAATTGACCTGACCTCTGTTAAATTCAGCCAAAAATGACCTCAAATGCTACAGACATTATTTTCTAAATATACGTGTAAAATGGACCATAAAACATGCGTCATGTGACCGATACATGATATATAATTTTCGTGACCTAAGATGACCTGGCCTTGACCTGAAAAATTCGAAGTAAAAGTTCGGTACCCTCAGGGTATCTAAGGCATATATCAAGGAGTGTGTAAACCAAAATTGAGCCTGATCGGACTTGTCAGTTGGCGGCCAGTGCCTAAATTGTAAACAAGCAAAAATGCCGATAATTTTTACTTTACCCTGACCTGCGACGTCATCAGTGACCTTGAGGTCAATGAAAATAGGTTTCGTTCGACAGTTTTTCCAGGGCTATCAGACGGCCTTTGTATTTTGACGGAGATAGTAGTTTCGGAGATAGGGGGGGGGGGGGGGGCTCTGGACTGGAGGAGAGCCCCCCTCAGTCACTCGCATTATGGAAAATACCCCAGTCATGGGCGGGTTAAAGCAGTAATTTTTAATTATTACATAGGTAACCAGCTTATCCTACCAGTGCTTTTATTTTATGTGATGATGAAAGGTACCTACTGCTTTTCAGAAGTAGGTAGTCTGAAGCTGGTTGCTGCAATTAAATGATGTCTAAGCCATTTGCTGGTAGTTGTTAAGGGACTAAGTTGTGTGCTCCAACCTGTGCTCAAACTGAGAGGTAAGTCTTCAATGCGTTTTAGTGGCTCCAGAAATAAGTTTGGAGATCCAACATTGTATTTATTGTTCCCAGATGATCTTAGAGTTCAAGACCCCAACACTTAGTCAGGACGCTGGCCATGGCCATTGGCCAATGAACTTTATAGCAGTGAACATTTGAGTGAACATTTGATACTTTCGACAAACGGCCAATATTGCATTGATAACCATTTCTTGGATATAGCTATTTTATTTTAATACTAGTTAATATTATCAGGTCTTTTTAATTGCTGAGCTCCCTAGTTCCACTCAGGTCTATAGGTCTCAATTTACAATATTCACAGGTAGCATGAGTGTTGTTACCTCTCATGGATGCATTCCTATTTTGTTATTGGATATTGAATGAGACTGAGGATAGAGGCCAATATGGATGGGTGGGGCTGGGGACAAAATTTCATTCGTCACTCATTATTACTCACACTCACAAATACCAGCTTCATTGTGACCAGATCCACGCCACCTTTGTCAGTGTCGCCATCTACTTTGTGTTGGTGTAAATCATATACACAAATCCACTCAGTGCTACTCACCCCGACCCTCAGATGATGCACCGACAAGTGGGCGGCGGGAAGCGGATTCGGATGGACGAGGGTCCTCCGACCGACTATGAGGCGCCGCCCATGACTCCGTACAGTGAGATGGACCCGGCGACGCCCTACTCGGTGCCGGCCACGCCCTACAGTCACATGGAGCAGACGCCAGTGCACCAGTGAGTACAGACGAACTGAGAGGGTAGGGGCTGCGGGGGAGGATGGCAGTGTGAAGGAGAAAGGATGGTGAGAAGTTGGGATGGCTGGATGATAATGTGGTATAGGGCTCATATTTGGCTGAATATGGTGTACACAAGAGGACAAGTCGTAGGTAAGGCTTACATACTACATAGCAGAGAAGGTAGATTAAAAGATGGGACTATGATCTTTTCATGTATGTTTTACTTCATTATTCGTATAAAACTTTTGGCTATGAAACGGCTGCACTGTAGGCCGGCAGCCCGAAAAAGCGCTAAAAATTCCCCCAAACTGACTGTGCGCAATATGAACAAAATAGGTATCATTTAATCCCAAATTGATCGAAGAATACGTTTCCGATGCCAGTTTTTCCCTAAGGTCAAAAATGAGGTCGTCAGTTGCAGGGGCTCCGCCACAGGGGGGTACGCGGGGGTCCGGACCCCCTCAATAATTTACCTGGGGGGTACAGTACCCCCCAATATTCCGAATACCTATAAGCTTGTTTTCGCGTAAGAATGACTAAATCATTCACAGAATGTGTTGTATAATTTAGAATGTGCAGTGTTGACAGTCGCAAAGCTAAGGAATTTAAGATCTAGAAATGTAGGGATCCCTTAAAATGTGACACACGAAGCGCTCAACTCTCGCCGACCTATCTGTAGGTACGGGAGTGTCATTATTCTACCATTTTGTTATTAAAATGAATGCGTTTAAGATTGCTATAGGATTAGCTCAGCATGCAGTAGCGGCGGAACACCTTCAATCAACGGGGGGCACTGCCGACTTTTGGTCCCATTCTTTCCATGCAACGCCCATAGGGCTAATGTTAAAATGCCAAAATCAAAGGGGGCACGGTGCCCCGGTGCCCTCCCCGTTCCGCCGCCAATGTCAGCATGCTAGAATTCGGCTATAATTTCGTGAGGGAGGTCCAGCTTGCAGGATGAGGACACCTAGACACAATACCCGCCCCAAAAGAGCTTCAAAGCGATCTGAGAATCCTTTTTCCATGTGAGGTCAACCGATAGTGTTGGGGGAGGGGGGTTAAGCCGGTCTTTCAAGCACCGTACTAGTCTAAGCAGCCTCACACCGTTCTGAGGTAATATGCAATAATCTGCACAGGACTCTGAATGCACGTCGGTAGAGATACGTCTACAAATCACAACTCTTACAGGATCCCCTGCATAACCTGACCTTTGATTCATTTGCAGCATTTTGATATCCATTTTCAGGTCAAGCTAGGTCACTCTCTGATCATAGAGACTGAATGTCAGTCTCTAAGGGCTCCATACTGCTATATGTATGAGGGCAGGGCTTTCAAATCCCTTCACCGACTCCTAAAGCCCTGCGCTTTCCTTTAACTACGGCCTTGGAGGACCCGGCACTGGCAGCTAAGAGCCTACATAGATATCTGAGCGCCTATGAAGGTCCCTGAGTTCCCAAGCGCATGCCAGTCACTGAGAGCCTAATGCGCTGTCTGATGGCTAACACCGCCCTTGGAGCGCGCAACACGGCCTCCATTGCTCAAAAACGTTGATTTGAGAGGTCGCCATGTCGATGCCAATGGGCTCCGCTTCTCGGTTTTCGATTTCTTGTGCAAATTGAGCCTTGGTTTTCGGTTTAAAGCAAAATTATCCCGATAAAATTATTAAGTTTTCTTTGAGCTGTAGAAAAAGCGGCAATTTTTCATCATCTTCGGGAGCTGCAGGGGCAGGATGAATTCGCCCAAAATGCCCACCCTGGATCCGCCAGCAAGGTTTTGTGTTTTCGGTCGGACCCCCCCAATCCCAAAACCGTGGCGGAGCCCCTGAGTCAGTTGTCACCAAACACAAGACAATTGACTCTCTAGTGGCCACCACGTTTACCAATTTTCATGATGATCTTTAGTGGTTATTTATTAGCTGACCAATAGTTGTTTTGAACGAAATTTCCTGTCAGACTAGTTCAGGGCACTGTTGTTCACTGTGCCAACATCATTCTCACATATTGCATCGCTTTTCTGCAAGATAAGCTAGCTTTTTGCAAGCAGCTGCAAGACGTAATTAAAAATCATATCTAATTTTTTAATTAGACTTTTATAAAAATGTGATTTCGAGCGGCTAAAAATGAACATTTTATACTAGCCTCTGATTACTCATCTTTCGTTCCATATAGGTGCTTTGCTGCTTTTCCCTGCTACTTTTCAAGATATGCGCCAGTAAACCACATGATGTAGGGGCAATTGTCACCTCGCCGCTCTACTGAAGGCCCGGCGCTCTTTAAAGCGCTGGAAGTTGTGAAAAACAAACGCGTATAATCTGAATAAAATATATGTCCCTGAGCTCAGAATTGATCAACGCACACAATGCTGTCAAAAATTTTGGGCCAAACTGAAAAACTCAGTCATTATTAACCCCCAAACACAAGTCAGTGATAATCAACAACAACTTGCTCTTTAGTTAGACTTTTTGAGAAATGTTATTTCGAGCCGCTAAAAATGACCATGCCATACAAACCACTAATCATCTTTCTGTCATGCCCTACTCGCAATTTTTGCTAATGCCTGCTACTCTTCGAGATCACGTGACCTCACCATTAAAAGTAAATGGGGAAATAAGGAAACTGTTGTTTTTGCGCATGGAATGATCTCAGAACTATCTCAAGCACACGGAATCGTGATTTCATGCACTCCTTGCAAGATCCGATGCTTTACTTTTGCATTTTTGACATTCCGTGACGTCATTTATGACGTCACTACAGTCATAGGAGTTTCTCGTCAATAACTCATGATCAAATTGAGCCAGCGACTCGGGAAAGCCACCAATGGACTCGGAAAGACCTCCCGAATCGAATGATATGCAATACGACTTCCTTCGATTAAGTTCGTGGCCTGATGGGTTCTGACCTGACCTTGACTCGAGGTCAACACCTTAAGTTGACCTCACCCGGACAAAAAGTATACCATTCGACGCGCCTGAGCCAGGCGAACACGATGGTGCCAAAATCACTGCTCTGCGGCCATTTTTGCGAAATTATTTACCAAAAACCAAACCCTACCTTGGGCTTTTTGACTTCACCTCAGAGGTTACCGGTGGACCTGGGACCTTAAAATCGGGTATCAATCGTTCCGTCTTGAAACGGCGCACACGCTCGTTTTTTCCGCGAGGCTGTAGCTCCATTAGGGGCGAAACGGCGAAAAGGGGTCGTACCAACCCTCCCCCTCGGCCGGCCGAGGGGGTGGGGGGTGGGGGTCCGACAATAGGTCCGGCGAGGGTTAAGCAGCCCCACTTCGTTTTTAGCATGCTTGCTTGTCACTGAGATCAACAACTCAATCACAGATAATTTCTAGCACTTTTCCGGGCCCCCGGCCCAGTGTGGGCTGGGGGTGTCCCTAGTTTCCTCGGACGTTCCTCGAAACCACGATAGAGGGCACTACTGGGTGTTTGGTTCGCTGGGGTGGCGCCTGGACAGCTAGTTAGCTAAGTGCTGAAGGCTGTGAAAAAAAAAAACAAGTGGTGGGTGTGGACAGCACTCTGCGCGAATGTTGTAGAAATGTGGTGCGGTTCAGAGGCGCTGTCCGGCCTTATGACTTCCGACTAAGCTAGTGTCGGGATGTGTGGTCAGCTACCGTGGAATATGAGATGTAAACAACAAAGCGAACTAAAGGCTTGCTTGTTGATGTCGAGGCTTGGCCAAACGACGAGATCTAAAGGCATCACTCCATTCTACTCCGCTATTTTTGTGTCTTAATGAATTAACTGCATGGACCGTCATTGGTGCAGTCTAGTGTAAGTCAGACTGGTGTAAGTCTCAGCAACCATTTCACAGAATGTCGCCAGTTGATATTTGTGCGAAAAGCCGAGCACTTGATATGCTTAGAATGAGAAAGATCCCCGGAATTATGCCTGACGTAAATTTTTGGTCGGTGTGGACATCTAAAATGTATCTGGGCTTAGTTGTTCATTTGTAAATTTGCAGTTAGATAATAATCTACATAAATTTAGAGAATAGTATGTTTTGTCTTTGGATTATGAATTACCATTTTATTAACCCTCGCGGGCCCGGGGGGGGGGCGTTTTTCGCCCCCCCTGGCGAATATTTGCGATAACTCCCGAACGCTTAGGGATAGGAAGGCGAAACTTTCAGTACCTTTTCTCCCATCAATTTGACATCTTCTGAAGTAAAAAATTTGGACCTAGCCCCCTTGATGACGTCACAAGGTCCATTTTTCTAGACCCCTGCACGGCAAACTTCGGCGTCACAGACGCAAACTTCAAATAGCTGCTAAAAATAGAGTTTTAGAGATAAAGACAAATTACGAGCACGGCTGTGTAGCGTTTGACCAAGAGAAAAATAGAAAAATAGTTTTGGTGACCTGAGGTCAGAGGTCAGGTCAACGACCCCGAAATGTGGTTTTAGTTTTTCGCAAATAACTTCGACAAAAATGGTCCTAGAGCTACGGCAGTGGTACCATCGCATTCGCCTTGTCAAGCCGCGTCGAATGATATATATTTTGTTCGGAAAAGGTCAAGTTTCATGTTGACCTCATGTGACCTCGAATGACCTCTGGTTGACCTTGACACATGAAAGGTCGTTTATGATGGATTTGTACCCGCTGATCACGAATCTGGCATCTATTTTCCTCTAAGCCTTCATTTAGAGCTTCCGGATGGCAAAATTGTCTTATTTATTATTACTAACTTAATAAGTGAAATAGCCTCTAGCAGGGATACTCTTGTGTGACCTTGACCTTTGAGCTGCCTTGTATCGTAAGATGAACCACAAATAGGGAACTGATAAGCCTCAAAACATTTCAAAACATCTTGGAAGTTAGCACGCAAGATGTGCGAAAAAGTGCAAAGTTTGAGGTCAATTTTGAGCGTGACCTTGACCTTGACCTTTAATTTAGAGCACATTTTCAGAATCCTCAGATCCTCTTCTTTCGTTTGACACCCAATTTTGCCGGTTTGATGCAGCCTGCCGTCCTCTAGAAGGCTTACTTTGAGATCACTACACATGTGCCGGTTTTGGCCTTTGACCTTGACCTCTGACCTTGAAAATTGACCTGAGGTCAAAAAATTTAGGTGCATTAGAATCGTCTCGTAAGGACCTTTCGTTTGGTATCGCTTTTGTTTCCGTAGCTCTCTTATTTACGGAGTTAGACAGGGGGGGGGGGGGGGCGAAAAACGCCCCCCCCGGGCTGCGGTGGTTGGGATTACCCCCCGGGCCCGGCCGGGTTAAATGCTTGAATCCCCTTTCGCCCATAATTCATAGTTCACAAAGATCCTTAGTTCGTAGGCTCACCCAATCGCAGTATCTGTATTAGCTTTACATATATAAACTCCAAAATACTTTACACAGTGGACAATGTCACATGCCTAGTCACAACGGAACCAATTTCCAAAGTCATTTTTAATCACACGCCCACACACGCTTAGCTCTGAACTGATCTATTTGTGCAAACTGCAAATATAAGTCGACTGTTCAGACGAAACCCTCTACCTCTATTTGTGCACCCCTGCTTGGAGCGAAACACAGCGACAGCGGCGCGATTCATGTACGCGCGTTTGTAGCATTCCTTCCCGGTGATGCGTTTCTGCCTCAGAGGTTTGACCGGTCAGACTTCTCCAGGATATTATCGGTCACATCCTCCACTTTGGTCACACCTGTAAAACGAAGAAAGCTATTATCAATGAATGGTGTAGTGTGGATGTGCTAGTTTTTTTTTGTTGTTGTTGTTTTTTTTTTTGTTAGCCGTGCTGTTTTTCGATTTTTTGTTTTTATTGGGCTAGTTCAACGACCGGGACCAGTTAGGTTTCTACTTCTTGTCACATACACAATTGATTTGTCGGTCACAGTGCGTTATCTGCAATCCGTTCTATCTATTGACGGTTAATGTCCCGCGATGTAGAATAATTTGGTCATAAGCCCTGATCGTCTGCCTGCCCCCGCCAAGTCTCGTCTGTCTACCCAGTCTCGTCTAGCCCTCCCGGCCGAGCGCGGTCAGTTGCTCACCGCAGAGTCCCATGGCGAGCCGCAGCTCGTCTCTGAGCAGCGTCAGCGCTAGCTGCGCGCCGCGCTGGCCGTCGTACGCAAGGCCCCAGAGCATCGGCCGTCCCACGAACACCATCTGAGCGCCCAGCGCCAGCGCCTTGATGACGTCCGTGCCGCGGCGCACGCCGCCGTCCATGAACACGGGCAGGCGGCCGGCGAGCGCGGCGACCACGGGCCGCAGTGCGTCCACGGCCGCCAGACAGCCGTCCAGCTGCCGGCCGCCGTGGTTGGAGACGATGACACCCCCGGCGCCGTGTTCAGCCGCCAGCAGCGCGTCCTCGGGGGTCATGATACCCTTGACGAGCACGGGTAGTTTGGTGATGCTGCGCAGCCACGCCAGGTCGGTCCAGGACAGAGACGGGTCGAACTGACTGGTCACGAAGTGGCTGATGCCCGACGACTGCTCGACGCTGCCCTTGACGTTCTTCTTGTATTCCTCGTCGAAATTGGCCAGGCTGTGGGCATGCACCCAATAGTAAGTTTGTGTTGAGATTTGACTTATCTCTTTGAGCAAGATGTCAACTTGGGGTTAGTTTGACGATTTTGAGACAAGCCGTCAGTAATTTCTGAACATGCGTTTTTTTATTACATCTTAGTTGAGGGCGAGGCAAGACTGGGAGTTGGTTCGATTGTTCCCCTTACTATATCATTGAAGTGCGTCGGCGATTAGATTATTGTTTATCACTCCGCGGCGTAGCTGTTGACCCGTCCATCTACGTCCCTCCATATACGACAGATAATCGGTCTTCAGTTCATAAATGGACATATTGAAGCAGAGCGTCAGGCGGAACAATCCCCACCTCTCCTTGACAACCCACCTGAGGTGCGGCGGCAGTTTGAAGCCGTTCCGTACGTCGGCCAGCCGTTTACCGAACATCTGAGCGTCCACAGTCAGCACCAGGGCGGAGAAGCCGGCGCTCTCGGCCCGCTCCACCATCCGCTGCGTCATGTCCCTGTGGATGGGTGGCGAGGTCAGTGGTGGAGCGGGGATCAGGTGGCGGTAGTTTAAGCTCTGCTTTACATCTTTATTTGAAGAAAGCAGAGCAGCGGCTCCGTCCTTGGATGGCTCATGTTCCAATCGTTCCAATCGTATTGGTGTTCCAATCAGGTGTTCCAATCGTATTACTTGGACGACGTGCTTATTCATCATTAACTTTTTACTAGGGAAAAATCGAAGTCATCACTCGAACTCTAACCAGTCATTATCGTCTTTCATTAAATAGTAAACCACTTTGAGATTCTAAGCGCGCCTGTCTCACCGGTTTTTCAGCACGTACAGCTGGAACCATTTGACGGCTTTGGGCGCGGCGGCGGCCACTTCCTCGATGCTGCTAGTTGATATGGTGCTCAGTGTGTAGATGGTCCCCATCGCCTCCGCCGCTGTGGTGGACGGGGCAGAGAGGAGTTTATAGGCATGGGCTTTAATGGAGAAGCGTTACTCGATACTCGTCAGTACGCCCATTTTACCACCTACGTTTTTATCCGTGTTTCAAAATAACTTCTTCCATTTCCATGTGTGAGTTAGAATCGTTGAATCCTTTGTTCGCTAAAGCTAGATTTTGGTTGTGGTAATGTCCCAGCATTAAATCACTAGATAATGTTATGAGACCTTTTTAGTCTATTCTAAAACTTGCCGGCTCGTTTATATGTAGATGCCGTTTGAGCGTGAGTGTTTACCTCTGGCTATCGCGCACTCTCCGTCTGGGTGATCCGCTCTCCCCTACTGAGTGCCCCGCTCTCCCCTACTGAGTGCTTACCTCTGGCATTCGCGCACTCTCCGTCTGGGTGAGCCAGTTTTTGCATGGCCGACGGCGCCACGCCGATGGGCATGCTGACCCGGTGACCCAGCACGGTCTGGGTCAGGTCAACGTGTGAGATGTCCACCAGAGCACGTGGTCGGAGACGGTACCTGCACAGAAACACATAAACTTAATGGTATGCACTTAATGGTATGCTTTGCAACAGGGAAAGGGTGAACTGGAGGAGAGAGGATTACTGACGTTGGTTTACTATGGTAGTGCAAAAAGTAATGAAGATATGTTGGTGGTCTAAGAGGACTCGCATGGAGGGCCTTTGCCCATTTTAAGCAGGCACTTGATTATTTTCAAATGAAGTGGCTTTGAAGTATAAATAATCTATACGATATTTGTTTGGAAAACTTGACCTCTATTCGGCTGCAACTGATTCTGAGAACTGGAGCCTGTAGTTGGCTGCCTTATCAGACTAGCATGTATGATTGATGATGACCATCACTTAAGCTGTGATTGAACGGCCATCTGTGCCTTGTCAGCTGGGACAGGCCGATTCTGTCCTATCCTATCCTACCGCCCCATCCTTTCCACACGCTTACCGCTGGTAGGCGGTCACGTTCTCTTTGAGCGTCTGCTCGGCGTCCGCTCCGGCGTTGTAGTACCCATTGGTGTTTTTGTCGAGTCGGGCCAGCGCCGTCCGCTCCAGGTCGTCGATACAGCAGACCACACTAGACATCGTCTGTGGACGGGAGTAAACAGAAGTAACCGTTGAGCTGCGCGCCCGGAGCATGTAACACAGACAGACAGAACGGGGACTCGTGCGCAGCGGTGGTTGGTGTTTGGTTCTGAGAAGCGTGCGCTCAACTGCGCAGCGTGGCTGTTATGTCAGTTCAGTTTTATCAACAGTTGTTAATGCAACTAGCAATGCAAAACGGCCATCTAAACTGTTGAAACAGTCCTTTAAAATTCATTTAGGGACACGAGCGTCTATACTTATGCGCATAGAAACCGTCTATCCAGAAACGTCTTGTAAATCGTTGCACAGCACCGACTTACTTGTGTGGGTGGAGCTGGTAGCGCGCTCATTTCGCCTGATCCGCACCTTCCGCCGTCGTCGCCGCCCGCGTAGTGCCGCCCCTGTCGCCGGGCACTACCAGAAGTAAACTGGGCGGCGCAGCGGGCAAGGTCGGCGCGACGAGCGCCTGCGCTGGGGAGGAGTAGCGGGGGGGGGGGGTGGACGGCTGCCAGAGCAGAGAGGCCCAATGAGGCGCCAGGCGGGATGTTGTGTTGAAAAGACCGCTACGAGACAGGAAGTAGATGTCTGCGAGATCGCAGAATGGATACCGTGAAAGTGGATGATGCTCGACGTTGGACTTATTTTTTAACAGGCGTTTTAGATTATTAGTGTAGCTACGAATTGTTATGCACGCTTGCTTACCGTGGCTGTAGTGTATTACGTGTCGTATTTAAGTAATGCATACCTATCTGTCTGTCGAGATGCACTGTCTCGGAAGTTTTTTCTTTCTTTCTTAAGTTATCGGATAGTTGTCCCTAATAGCCCATGCGCCTCGTGTAACACCACCATCGTCCTATTTCAGGCCTCAGTACCAGGGCGTCGACTATGCGGCTCAGCAGCATTACCAGCAGCAGGGTTACGAGGCGGCGACGTTCGACGCCCAGCAGCACTACCAGCAGCAGCAGCAGCAGCAGCTCCTGCTGCACCAGCAGCAGCTGCAGCAGCAGGCGGCTGTGCAGGTGCGTCCCGACACGTGTGAGAACACCTGACTGCGAGACGGTCGCCGATGCTGCGTGAATCGAGGGAGTAGATGGGTGAAGCCTAGAAATTTCGTTAGTTTTGATCAAAAACTTTGCAGCACCGGTGGGAATTTTGGTAAGTTTTCGGTTTCAGTAATACACACGCATTAGTGTATTTTGTGTATTTTGTACAATTTTGGACCCACTAAGTGTTGTTGTTAAGCTCCGTCACGACCCTGTATTTCAGCAACAGCAGATGTACGCAGCTGCTGAACTGGAGCAGCAGCAACAGCAACAACAACAGCAGCTCCAACAGCAGCAGCAGCAGCTCCAGCAGCAGCAGCAGCAGCAGCAGCAGCAGGCGGCGCAGGAGGAGCAGCAGGCGCCGATGCTGTCTCCGGAGCCGCCCCAGCAGCAGCAGTACGAACCGATTCCGCCCATCACCATATCGATGACTCGCCGCGGCAGAGGACGATGTGAGTGTAAAGGGAGGAGGCTACGGACTCAGGATGTCTCTTATACTCTCTAGGAGGGAATTTGAGTCGAAGGGACGCATTGTTCTTGATGTGCAGCTTTGAACGTGTGTTTTAGAACGGCACAATTATCAAGGGCTGACAGTACGCGGCTACAGGTTTGACGGTGTGGCGTCTGGTTCGCTGAATATGTGGCGTGGGAATGAACTGCTGACTGACAGCTGTCGCTGCCTGAGGGCGGGTGGGGGCCGTGAATGGTGGTGGTGGGGGGGGGGGGGGAGGGTGCAGGAAGTCGAGCATGCATCTTGGGAGGCATAAACGAAAAAGAAATCTGCTTTGCGTTGCATATTTTTGTAATCGATTAAATCTGTGCAGCATTCTCATTGGGCAATCAGATTCACGATGCTTCTTGACGAACACAGGCTTTGTGGCTTGACGGACACAGGCTTCGAATTCTTCCGCCAGTAACCAGTTGAACAATTTATTCTGGCTCGTGTGTCCTCCCCATTCTGTCACCTATCGCCACGGTCTCCCTAACCCCTCTCCCCTCCCCTACAGCGGCGGTGATCAAGCGTCCCGCCGAGCCGGCCGCCGAGCCTATGATGCTCGATGACGGCCCGCCGGGGAAGCGTACCCGGGCCGGTCGCGCCGGCCGCGGCCGCGCTCACGAGCACGGAGTCGGTGACGAGGAGCCCAGTCTGTACAAAATCGTCAAGGAAGGCCGTTCACTGCTTCAGGTGGGTGGCGTCGACACGGGGCGCAGAAGATGGGATGTGATGTAAAAGGATGTGCAGCTTTACTTATATCATTCTTCCTACTCATATGTTTTTTTGCCACTCAGTCTTGATGTGCCTATCATAAATACGCAGATGTGACCAAATGCTGTCTATAAAGTCTGGTCGTTATGTAATGGACTTTCACTGGCAGGTATACAGGGTGTCCGGAAAGTTCTGGCGCTTTTCAACATTTTCTAAAACAAATGCCATTGGTTCATAGATACTCATCAATGGATTAAAACAATGACCAGGGACACCAAGCCACATCCTTCTGCTAACTGCTCATTCAATGAAACTATCGTCGGCGCCGACGACGGCCTCGACGTAGGGGAGGAAGCGCCTGTGGGTTTTGACGATGTGGGGCATTTCCAGGCTCTCCCATGCTGTCATGATGTGATTCTTCAGCGACTCCAGGTTGGGGTGATGAATGGCCTAGATCCTGTTCTACAAAACGCGTAGCACGCCTTAGTCGAGCGGGTCAGGTTAGGAGAATAAGGCGGCCTGATCTCATTTCGCCACGGTGATCTGGCCCGGCAAGCTCCTCTGTCAGTTTAGCTTGAACGGCAGTGGCGTTGTTGGAGGGCGCTCTGTGCTGTTGAAATGCGAAGTGGCCCTTAGGGCAAGGCGTCTTGACCCTCGGGTTGATGTGGCTGTCCAGGAACCCCTCGTGGACCAGCCTGTTATTCATTTATTCGACATTGACGAAGATGATGGGACATTTGTGTCCATCAGAGCCCCGCACTTTCCTCGATTGCCGCGCTGAAATGCTGCTCCGTTCTCGGCAGTTTTGACATACCGCGGTCGTACCAGCCTGAGGATATTTTCTAAGGAATTCCCGAGTCGGAATAAACCTTTACCTGCTAAACCATTCATCGAAAAACGCCGCATTGCGCTGCAACTCGCGCCTCGTTCAAGGCGCACCCGGCCGCCGCGCGCAGGCATTCAGCGATAAGGCGCATCTTTACCCATTTACCCATCACTGAGCACGATTCCAGGGTCATATTTACACGACCCCTAGCTGAGCGGTCAACGAGGGGTCATGTCTGGTGATTGGCTGAATGTCCAATAATCACAGCGCGCTTTAGACGGCGTCCAAAAGAAGCGCCAGGACTTTCCGGACACCCTGTATATTATAACCCCATTCTTATGAATCCGACAAACGTTACGCTGCTGACAGCTTACTACGTCGATCTAACTAACATTTCCTCCCCTCCCCTACACTGTCTCGTCTCCCTCCAATTTCAGACCGTAGTAGACGAGTGGATCGACCAGTACAAGGTGAACCGCAACGTGGCGCTGCTGGCACTCAACCAGTTCTTCATCACCGCCTCTGGCTGCAAGGGCGTCATCACCGCCAAGATGCAGCAGACCATGGAGGACGTGGCCATCATCAGAAAGATGACAGAGGAGTTCGACGAGGTTCGTGATGTTTTGTCGAACGATGGGCTTGATATTTGATTTTCGGTTATTGTTTGTGAACTCGGCAATTCTCAACGGTGCTGCCGAATGTAAATCATGTCTCAAATGAATGATGTGTTTGATATCACCGTTGTGTTTGATATCACCGTTGTTGTTGCTTCGAAATGAAATATCAGCAAGCATAATGAAGAATGCATCATTTTTTTCTACATTTCCATCAAACATGCCCCAACACACGCCCAACTGACTGACTGATCATCCTTCCCACGCAGGAATCTGGCGAGTACCCGCTGATCCAGACGGGCCAGCAGTGGAAGAAGTTCCGCGCCAACTTCTGCGACTTTGTGGGCACGCTGGTGAAGCAATGTCAGTACAGCATCATCTACGATCAGCATCTGATGGATAACGTCATCTCGTTCCTGACCGGGCTGACCGACTCGCAGGTCCGCGCCTTTCGGCACACCGCTACACTGGCAGGTCAGTCTTGGTGTACAGCGGATCCTTAGAACGGGTGGAATGAGGGTGGGTTGTGGGAACATTGGGGGTGTCTAAGTTAGACCATAGACCTTTGTATGTGTATAGACTAGAGGTTTATGACTAGACCCACGATTGACGCCTAATTTACGAATTCATGTGGAAAAGAAGGGTTTTGCAAGGAGGAACTTGTGCCTTAGGGTGAGAGTAATTCAGCTGAAACTTTTGTCGGCAAGATAATTTTACATTGACGTATGTTGGCGTTTCACGACGTTTTTTATTCGATTTTTTTTTTGTCATTTCACAATACTCAACCAAAATATGGTGGTGGGCGCGCCTTTTCTTTTCCTGACCGTCTATCTTCCCTCCCCAGCGATGAAGCTGATGACGGCACTGGTGAACGTGGCCCTCACCGTCTCCATTAACCTGGAGAATACCCAGCGACAGTACGAGGTGGAGCGACAGAAGGTGGGTCACCCCTCGGCCCTCCGTCCCTCCCCGCTCACCCCAGCAGCTGCTGTCCCCTGAGGGCAGCTGGCGAGACAGTCCGCGGTAGGAGGGTGAATGATGAGTTTGACGTAAAAAGCCCGCTCACATGACAACGCGGAATGTTTCACTTCCATACGTGTGGCGCAGTTTCTAAAACAAAGCCATCGGGATACACATTCAACTATCAATCTCCTTACCTCTGAATCAATTGCCACCTTTTACGCTGCAATTCTGTCGGAAGTGACCACGTCGGAGACGTCCAGCCGACCATCCCCGCGCACATCGTTAACCCCATGTATTTAGGGCCTTGGTTAACCCGCGCCCCGTAGGGGGGGGGGGGCCGAAACGCCCCCCCCCCCTGTCCTTTTCCGTCGATATCTCCTAAACGGCTGGAGATATCGCCACCAAACTTTCAGGACCCCTCCGGGCATCAATTTTACACATTGTGACCAAAAATTTTTCCAGAGGCTATGATAGGTTGGCCACAAATGACGTCAGAATGACGTCATGTTCTGCCATTTTCGACACAAAAAAGACCTTCGCGAGAAGAGCTGTCAGGCCTACAGCTTTGAAGATACAGAAAAATGATCAAGACATAAAAGGTGTAGAATTGACAGGGCTACAAAACTGCTATCTCGGATTTGTGAAATTTTTGAGTTTTGACCCCCAAAAATCAAAAATGCATTTTTTGGATATATTAGCCAAAAAATCCAAAAAGTTTTTTTGAGTTCCGAAAAAACGGAATATACAGGGTGGAAAGAAAAATATGTTCTGATTTTAACAGCCCGTCACATCAAATCGAGTAGTAATATCTCAAAATGAATTAGTGCATTTGAATCACCTTTTCTGGAAGTTTTATACCTGGTGTCATTCACACTCTTTCTCGCTCCTGGGCGTCCCCCACAGCACGTGTTCTGAGTAACCTCTTTTTCGCAGAATTTAGAGATATGTGTACCGCGCAACCTCCGAGATGAATTCAGCGCACAAATCGGGTGGATTCTACGTGCGACCTTCCAAATCGTCTTCATCACGTTCGGGAGACTCTCTGGGCTCATGGCTGGCACCTGTGATTTCATTAAACCCCACAGATAAAAACCAGGGGCGTCGGGCCTGAGAAGAGGGCTGGCCATGAAATTTCGGCTTTTTTGACTGGTCACGTGCCCTCTAAAGTGTTCCTCCGGCCAGGAGAGGCTCGCTCTTTATGTGCTAGATGGAGCCCCGTCTTTTTTGGAAACAGTGTACTCAGTTACACCCTCCAGAGCTGTCACTATCTAACGCCCGAGCCTTCTCAGCACCCGAGCGTAGCGTTCCTTGTTGACGGTGACCGTGGTGCCTTTCGATGTTTCGAGGGAAAACGGTCCGATGAGACAGGCGGTGGACATAACACATCATTACGTCAATGTGAGACTGTGCAGAGGGCTCTATAACGTTGTGCCCAGAGGGAATGAAGCCCAAACTTGACAGTTCTGGGTTGATTTTACCGCTCATTCGGACCGTTTCCCTCGAAACATCGAAAGGCACCACGGCCACCGTCAATAAGGAACGCTACGCTCGGGTGCTGGAGAGGCTCTAGCGTTAAATAGTGGCAGCCCTGAAGGTTTTAACTGAGTAATTGTTTCCAAAAAAGACGGGGCTCCACCTAGCACGTAAAGAGCGGGCCTCTCCTGGCCGGAGGAACACTTTAGAGGGCACGTGACCAGTCAAAAAAGCCGAAATTTCATGGCCAGCCCTCTTCTCAGGCCCGACGCCCCTGGTTTTTATCTGTGGGGTTTAATGAAATCACAGGTGCCAGCCATGAGCCCAGAGAGTCTCCCGAACGTGATGAAGACGATTTGGAAGGTCGCACGTAGAATCCACCCGATTTGTGCGCTGAATTCATCTCGGAGGTTGCGCGGTACACATATCTCTAAATTCTGCGAAAAAGAGGTTACTCAGAACACGTGCTGTGGGGGACGCCCAGGAGCGAGAAAGAGTGTGAATGACACCAGGTATAAAACTTCCAGAAAAGGTGATTCAAATGCACTAATTCATTTTGAGATATTACTACTCGATTTGATGTGACGGGCTGTTAAAATCAGAACATATTTTTCTTTCCACCCTGTATGTGATAGTACCTACCGTCTTCTATCTACATACCAAATTTCAGATCGATATCTCCTTTTTTGGCCAAGTTATAGCGAAAAAAACTGTTCAAAAATGATGACGTCAAATTTTCAAACTCAATTTTTGGCAATTCTAGACCACGTAGGGCAAAACAAAGACCACCATTGGACTCCCCGTGACGAGCTGCATCGAATGGATACCCTTTTTATGCAAAAATATCAACTTTGAAATTTGACCTAATTTGACCTGACCTTGACCTGACCTTCACTGGAACATAATCTAAACTGACTCCAAATGCTGCCTGACCCACATAATCGCATTTGTCATGTAAAATGGACCATAAAACATGTATCGCACGACACTTTCATATTGTGACCCCCAGTGACCTGACCTCTGTGACCTGACCTGGTATCAGTGACCTCAGATAGCGAGGTATGTGTTTGACGAACAATGTACCATCGACGGTTTTCAATAACTTACCAATTTACTCGATTTCACAACACATTTCTTGAAATGCCTGTGAACGGTGAAAATCTGACCTTTGACCTGACCTGTGACGTCATCGGTTTGACCTAGGTCAATGAAATTTGGTCACAAGGTAGTTCCCTGGTGGGGCTATCGATCGCCGCTTGAATTTTGAAAATCGGCCGGTAAATTTCCGAGATCTCGGGGGGGGGGGCCGAAACGGCCCCCCCCCTACGGGTGGTAGGGTCCGCCGGTAGCCCTACGGGGCGCGGGTTAACCATATGTCCTCCTCCGTCATCGTGTCCCTCAGTCGCGGGAGAAGCGCGCCCCCGACCGTCTGGAGCAGCTCATGTCCAAGCGCCAGGAGCTCGAGGAGAACATGGACGAGATCAAGAACATGCTGACCTACATGTTCAAGTCGGTGTTTGTCCATCGGTACAGGTACGAAGCTGTCATTTTTGTCATCTGTTCTGTCCTTTGGCCACCGCTTTTGAATGCGTGTTTAGTGCGTGGGTGTCGGGTGAAACCACGACAATATATGTCCTTTCGCGTCGTTGCTAATAGGCTCATCGACCGCAGCTACTCTTTTGCACGTTTGCATTTGGCGTGGGCCGCGCCTTGGCACCTGTCATAACTTGTTCCTTTCATCCCGACTTTTCATTTGTCGGCGTGTCAGTTCATAAGTGATGTTTTCATTTGCTTATGCTCTGTGACAAATGTGGGTAATATAGCCTGTCCGTTGTCACTATGGTGGGCCGTGTGATAGCTCATTTTCGCTGTCACCCTACAAATTGGTACGCACGGTCGCACACGTCCTTTTGTCTTTGTTCTTTCAATAGTGCGTGACAACTGTAGTTTTATCTTCATCTAATCCGGTTTAGCGCGACTACCATGCTTCATGTGTATTCACGGGTGGAGCGTGTCGACAAGATTACGCAATAAGCCACCCTTGTGGCGCAGTTGGCAAGTGCGTTCACGATTGGTGTGGGAGGTCCTTGGATCAAAGCTAACCTCTGGCAGCGTTTTCCTCGGCCGGCTCCTACCCAGGAGATGGCAGTAACTGGCAGAGCTGGGCAAGTGCGTTCCTTTAGTGCGTTCCTGCGTTCTTGCGTACGTACGCACCGCCTTTTTAGGAACGCAAGAACGCAGGAACGTTAAGTTTTTCAAAGGAACGCAAGTAAGAGGAACGCACCACCCGAAATTTTGAAGCGTTCCTCATTTTGTGAAGTGCGAACCCTGCTATACCATGAAAAAAATAAAAAAATGTGCCCGAACTAGAACTTGTCCGATGTAACAAGAACTCAGAACCCCCAGATAGGTAGATGAGTTGTTGGATATTGCTGCCAATGACCTCTGTGTCAAATGTTTGAATCTCGAGTACGTGTGTTTGCCGATAGAGGCGCCACTTGTCGGTCGAATCGAGGAAGGCTTGTTTAGATTTAGTGGTGATGTTTACTATTCGATTCGGTTTCAGGCATTAAATGTGTAAAGTAAATATGATACCTTTTACTTAGATACATCTTTCAACTTAACTATTGTTTTTAAGCAGGTCGTATTTTTGTTGAAAACCCTACGGATGATATTGGTAAAACGTATTTCAGATATTCGATTCGGAAAAGAGATGTCGAGTTGCTTTTCGGCCCCGCGTCGCCATTCTGGGTATTCTGTGATCGATTCGCCCCGTGTTTGGTTGGGCCCGCGCCGCGTGGTTCGGCGGTATTTTTTAGGGAGGAACGCAGGAACGCAGGAACGCAGGAACGCTAACGCACCGAGCGAAAAAAATTGAGGAACGCTATTCCAGGAACGCACTAACCGCGGCCGGAGGAACGCAGGAACGCTAACGCACTACCGAAAATCAAGGAACGCGCCCAGCTCTGGTAACTGGGGAGTGTTCGCTCGGTCGTGGGGATTAACGCTGTGCCAGCCAGCGCCCCCGGCCGCAGGTACACGGGCCCGATCCGCCTTCAAACAGATCCTTCGGTCCGGTGACATGTCCCGAGGGCACGGCCTCGCTTCATGTCCCGGAGCAGCCCTCTGACCTGCCTGGCCCGAGAAATCGGGATAGCCCCGGCGTGCGCACCAGTGCGGTGCCACCTGGGGTGCGTGACAGGAAGCGTGCGGTCAAGGCTGTCCCGCTTGGCGGGTGCCGAAAACGCTTCGTACCACTGCCGTGTATATAGTGTACTAACCCAGCATGAATGTGTGCTACTAACGGCAAAAGCCCGGGTCGGGCACCAAAAATATTTTCAAAAAAAAAAAAGATTACGCAACAAATCGATGTCCAGATTAATTTTTTTTCCATTGAACGTCTTTCTAATATGGCATCGTTGCAGACTGTTATCTCAATAGAGGGTCTCTCAGGCCTGTCTCACAGCCGTCTCGTATCGGCTGTCCTTCGCGATAACTTATCTACTCTTTTTAACCTCTTCCAGCATAACCTCCCATCACTTCTCTGACCTATTACCCCTTTATTACCCCGCCTCCACAGGGACACGTTACCCGAGATCCGCAGTATCTGTATGGCCGAGATAGGCATCTGGATGAAGAAGTTCCACCAAAACTTCCTGGACGATTCGTACCTCAAGTACATCGGCTGGACGCTGCACGACAAGGTCGGAGACGTCCGACTCAAGTGCCTTCAGGTGAGCCGAGGATGGGCGGAGTGGAGAGCTTGTGAGAGGCGAAGTCGTCACTGCCGCGCTTACCGCGGAGGATGAGGTCGGTTCTGAAATATTATGTTGTTTAATGTAGATTTAGGTTGAGGTTTTAGGTTTTTGATGACGAACTTTTTCTACTGTCTTTTTTGGATGACTCCTGCCGGCGTAAAACCGCGCTTCGGATTCTCTTCGAAAACCCCCAGTTCTTAGATGTTTTAAGTTCCTGTATTAGTATTCCTCCGTGACGTCTCGCCACATGGTGTGAACTAAGCGGGGGAACTGTATCGCTGCGACGTAAGCTGACGTGCTGATGACGTCACTTTCACAGGCGTTGCAGCCGCTCTACTCGTCCGAGGAGCTGAAGGGAAAGCTGGAGCTCTTCACCTCCAAGTTCAAGGACCGCATCGTGGCAATGACGATGGACAAGGAGTTCGACGTGGCCGTGCAGGCCGTCAAGCTGGTCATCAGCATCCTCAAGTGAGTCGCGGTGGTGTCGGGAAGCCGAGAACCCTGTGGGAAACGTTGACAAAATGTTTTGGAAATATTTTTTGGAAAATTGAAATGTTTTATTTTGTCGATGGTCCTGGGATTAGCGACTGCTTACAGGCTCACATTATCTCACAGCTCACGTTAATTATTCTTCCGTTTGAGTCTGCCAGTAAATTGTTTTGCTTTTGCGTGCAACTCGTGCGCAAATCCTTTCAGTTCACACCTCTTCACAGTGAATTGCAACTCGGGGGACCTTAATGGATATTTACTTGACATTTTTACGTTGTTCTGTGACACTGACTGACTAACTTTCCTGTCTCTTTGGCTCTCACTGCCACTGACTCTGCCGTTCCATCGCCAGATACCACCGCGACATCCTCTCAGACAAGGACTGCGAGCACGTGTACGAGCTGGTCTACTCGTCTCACCGGGCCGTGGCGCAGGCGGCCGGCGAGTTCCTCAACGAGCGACTCTTCATACCGTTCATCCCTGACGAGGTGCCCCCGGACAGCCTGCGCACCAAGCGCGGAAAGCGGCGCCGGCCAAACACGCCGCTCATCAGGGATCTGGTGCAGTTCTTCATCGAGTCGGAGGTGAGGAGAGGGAGAGAAGGGGATGGGAGGAGAGGAGATAGTGTAGAGAGTGGGCTAATGAGGTATGAGATGTGGGTGTAGTGTATGGTTGATTTGTGTTATTTATCGACACGTGATAGGGAAAGGAAATAAGTGATCGCGTGTCGCGGATACAGTAACTTAAACATAGGTATACCTTTACAATTACACAACACGCATACGGAGTCACAGCATCTTGGATCCGAATGTCGATCGATACATGCGTAGTGTCTAATTGAGCGATTTGTGAAGCAATATATCGGTCACTTTTCGGCAAACTCCTACACTTATCCGTGCCCTCTTGGTTATCACGCTGACCTGACCTAACCCGCACCCACCCGTCGTGCAGCTGCACGAGCACGGCGCCTATCTGGTGGACAGCCTGATCGAGTCGAACGCCATGATCAAGGACTGGGAGTGTATGACCGACCTGCTGATCGAGGAGCCCGGTGCCATGGAGGAGCCGCTCGACGACAGGTCAGGGCTTGGGCGTGACGTGGATGGAGTCCCATGGGTGGGGTGGGGAAGGGGCTGTCGATTCTCTATTGCAGCTCGATGTGAATTGCATAATCACACTACTGAATTCTCTGTGAAACGACTCGGCGCTAGTATGCAAAATTATAAGGATTTTTGTCTTGTTCGATGACATTATTTTGATCTATTAATAATTTTCCTATTTGGCTTTCTAGTCCTCTTTAGTCTTTTTAATCCGAACCCACCTCACTCTACATTCATTTATTGGTGTCAGCGTATTACCCGTAACATCAATCACGTACGTATTCCTCCATGATCTAACACTGCTGACCCGCCTCACAGGCAGGAGAACTCGCTCATCGAGATCATGGTGTGCGCCATCAAACAGTCGGCCACCGGCGAGCCTCCGGTGGGCCGCGGACCCATCCGCAAGGTGCTCTCGGCGCGCGAGGCCAAGCAGGTGTTCGATGACCGGGCCAAGCTGACTGAGCACTTCATCACGACGCTGCCCACGCTGCTGGCCAAGTACATCGCCGACCCGGAGAAGGTGGCCAATCTGATGACCATCCCGCAGTACTTTGAGCTGGAGATCTACACCACGTCGCGGCAGGAGAAGGTAGGGATGGGATAGGCGAAGCGAGGAAGGCGTGAATGATTTGAAGTGGTGCTAGGGGTTTGCACGAAAGTGCTTTCGGCATTATTTGACGACTTAATTTCTATGCAGCGAAGTAGTGTATTGCGAAGTGCCGTCTAATATGTTGTGAATTACCGCTTTTTGTACTGTTATAGCACCCGCGTATGATGTGTCATCACTTACAATAAGCTTCTAATCTAGCTTTTGTGACGAGCTGATGGACGTGCTCAATGTCATTGTTTGTTAATTTCTCACGGCGACCACCGCTTCCAGTCGCCGCTTGGGACATGTTTTACGCCTAGCATTCCGTGGATCGTAGGTTGGATAATTGCTGTGCTGTAAAAGTCGTAACATCTTGACTGACTAGCCGGCCTTATCTTTGCTCCTTTCTCCACTGTAAAACCTGGATGTCTTCTGTAGAAGTGTCAGTAGACCACGGTCAGCCGCTAACCCTCCCCCCTCCGCCCTGTTACAGAACCTGGACGGCCTTCTGAAGCTGTGTCAGGAGATAGTCGACAAGCACACGGACCGTGACGTGCTGGACACGTGTGCCAAGACGCTGGAGCTGCTGTGCCAGGAGAACAACGCTATCCACAGCCGGTGCAACGTGGCGCGCGGCACCGTGATCGACATGATCGTCAACAAGTACAAGGAGGCGATGGACGACTACAGCTCGCTGGTGGCTGGGGTGAGGCGGGCGGCAGGAAAAGGGAGAGTGAGGGGAAAGGGAGAGGGAGTGGATGGTGTGGAAGCTGACGAGTAGCTTGCGTGTGATAGGAGGAATTATGTCGAGGAGAGGACTCGGGGGAGAATATATAGGCGGATGAGTAGGAAGTAATTTTCTAGAATGAACTCGCCCATGCTGCCAAATGCCAGTACCAGTGGGCTGCTTTTCTGGCACGGGCAACGCGCTCCACATTGCTGGGACTCATGAGCTTTTTCGGATAAGTGTTAACTCTTCGTATCACAACCCTCACGTCCCCCGTCCTTCTCGCCTTCCCCAGGAGGAGGAGCCAAACGAGGACGAGATATTCGCGCTGACGAGCAGTCTGAAGAAGGTGGCCATCTTCTCGTCGTGCCATAACCTGGGCCTGTGGAACATCTGGGACGGCCTGTTCAGGATCGTCGAGGAGGCCAAGGACGGCTCGTCCACACTGCCCGAGGAGGTGAGCATTGAGCAGCGCGCCGTCGGGGATGGCGAGCCGGGGATTGCGGCCGACACCTTGCTAAGGGTAGAGTGGAACGATCGGATGGGGTGATCTGGCTAGGATATTGGGTTGAGTGCAGCTCTTCTTATCGAACTCGGTACTATGAAACTTTAAGGCATGCTGTTTGCAGCTGGCTAGTTTTGCCTAGGTATTATTTGATATGCCCAAAAATAATTTAAGAATTTAGGTGCTCAATTAACACATTTTTTATGGCCAGAGATATAAATAAGCGTCAAAGCGAGATGCGGCTCAGCCACCCCGTTTTCCACTGATGAAGAACATATTATAGACGTATCACATCGTTTGCTCGCCATTACCACTTCTATTACCATCTCTCGGTCGTCAGGCGACGCGCCACTGCATCTCTGCGTGCATGTTCGGCATCATGTGGGACCTGCACCACGTGGAGGAGACGTCCGATTCTCTGAGCACCAACAGTCAGGAGGTGGAGACGCTGCAGCGCCGACTGGCCGCCTACATGGAGACGGCGCAGCAGCTGGTCTCCAGCAGTCCCGTCAACCAGTTCAGGGAGGAGGTGAGGCTGTCCGGTCACACGACACTGCTGTGAGGGTCTAATCGCACAGTTTAGGGAGGAGGTGAGCGTCCGGTCACACGACAGTGCTGTGACTTGTGAGAGTCTAGTTTTACAGTTCAGGGAGGGAGGTGAGAGCTAGTTCTACGGAAGTTAACACAGTTCAGAGAGAAGGTGAGAGGCTGATCTTGTTGAAACAAAGAAGTTGATGTGATAGGTCATCGCACTGAAGTGAGGAAGCAGTGATGCTGAATTTGGTACAGAGTTCATAGGGACGGGTGAGAGAGCTGTCGTTTTACTGTTTGAACCATGCGTTCTTACTCCTTGGGTTTACGGGGAATCATGCTCATACTGTTGGAATGATGCTCTTAGGTCATGTACCTTTCTTTTACTGTAGTGTCGTCCCATCTAACAGCATTACCAGACACCACTGGCGCACTCACCCTCGATATTCTCTATCGTCCGCAGTCTTACATCTCCATCTGCGACCTGCTGATCGTATTCTCCAGCCAGCTGGCATCGAACGCGCACCTCAAGTCGCTGGTCTACACTCCCGACCGCACCATGCAGGGCATGCTCAACGACTTCATACAGACCTACGTCTTCGTCGACGATGATGACGGTAAGAGAATGGAGAGATGGTGTATGATGGTTGATGTGCCATCACAATCGACCAGGTTATCACTTCAGTCTGCCCTAAGTAACAATCTAGCCAAGCTATCTTCAGTCTTACGGTCTTTCTCCTATGCTTTCTAACCCATGCAGCTTAACCTCTAGCCAGCCGTGACCCTTGACCTCTGACCCACAGAGGAGCAGGACGAGCACACCAAGATTGAGGAGCTGCACAAGAGGCGCAACTTCCTCGCCTCGTTCTGCAAACTCATTGTCTACAACGTGATGCCAACCAAGGCGGCCGCCGACGTCTTCAAGCACTACGTTCGGGTAAGTGCCGCTGCGTCAGTCCAGTTAACTGTTGTTACTTTGCGCAATAGCTTCTGCGCACCTCGGAAGAGTGGATTAACGTATATTATTTGATCTAAGCGATATTTCTGCAATTGGACGCCCTCATAGCTCAGCGGTTAGAGCACTGGTCTTGTAAACCAGGGGTCGGGAGTTCGCTTCTCCTGGGGGGCAGTGCTGCATTGTGGCAGTTTTAAAATACTGCGTCACTGGGCCGAGGAGGCCCGTTGAAATGCTGTGGAGCGCGTCCCCCGCTCAAACTGCCCCTGGGGGTCAAGTGTTGGGGACTGGGGTCTGTCCAGTGTCCACATCAGTGACATGGTCATCTACAGTAAATACCTACCAATGATAATCAGCTGAGTGAGGCTCAGTGGTTCTAGAGTATATTCCATAGACCTCCTCCCGCCTTTCCTTCCCAATCCTGTGGTCGGTTATGGTATGTCCAGCATTTTAGTGAAGTGGAGAAGGCAGCAGAGCAGCTGAACAATTGCGTGATACAGCTATCTAGAAACGTTCCTTTCAATTATATTGTGAGGCCAATAATTATGCATTGTGAGTTTTAGGGCTCGACGATACGACGTCCTTTTTAGTATAGCTTACCAGAAGCAACGTCAATAGGTCATCGAAAAGGCCCACACCTCGCATGCTCACGTAAATATATCTTACAATCCACATCTTGTCCCCTCAGTTCTACAACAACTACGGTGACATCATCAAGGCCACGCTGGGCAAGGCGCGCGAGATCAACAAGGTGAACTGCGCGCGCACCATGGCGCTCTCGCTGCAGACGCTGTTCGAGTCTCTCACCAGCCACCCGCAGGCGCGCATCAACCGCGCAGGAGACGAGTTCATCTCGCTCAAGGTATTGTAAAATATTGGGTGCAGGGGCGGGTCTGACTGGCGGTATGGTATGATACAATGGCTGTGTTCCAGGCTCTGGTATTTCATCTATATTTTATGGTTGCAACTGATGGTTGTCTGCTCACCACCTGTTTCCCGTTCCCTCACAGTTTCGGAATGACACCGCTGCCTTTTCTCTCCCTTAGGAATTGGCCAAGCGGTTCGCACTATCATTCGGTCTGGACGCGCTCAAGAACCGCGAGGCCATCACGTCTCTGCACCGCGAGGGGATCCGTTTCGCCGTGGACCCTCTGGAGAACCCGGCCGACCCGACCGGGCCGCCGCCCAACATTGCCTTCCTGGAGGTCATGGTGGAGTTCACCAACAAGCTGCTCCGACAGGACAAGCGCCTCGTGTGAGTAGGTGGGGGTGGGGTGGAGGGTTGGAGATAGATGGGAAGGCAAGAGTATGCAGGAATTGGGGATCTTTGGCCACCATCCGTCTGTCATCTAACTTGCGGTTGCGGTTCTAAAAACTTGGTGAGACTGTCCGTTTGTAATCTCATCATCCATTCCACATCGGTGTTGTCATCCATCCATTGTGATCATTTGTCATCGACAGTGACATAGACTGGTAAGGTGTCACAGCCGTTTCAGTTTGACATGCCAACGTAACTACACTGATACCCTCACAGGGCCGCTGTGGCTTTATCTGACTTCATCCACCACATCTCCACAGGCTCAACTACCTGGACCGTCGGATCGCGGCGGGTATGCCGTCGTCTCGTGGTGAGGACTGGCAACCGCTGCTCATGTACCGCAACTCGCTACTGCAGGGCGAGACAGACCAGCCGATCGTCACCAGCAAGCGCGCCTACACCCGCCGCCGCCGCGACGGTGAGTGGGTGGGGACGTGGGGAAGGGGTTGGGGGGGGGGGCACTGGTGCATTTATAGACTCCCAGCTGGGTAAGATAAAGTCCGAGTGATCTGTTATTGTACCTTTTGTGCGGCAGTGACCTCCGCAGTCAGGACACCCAAAGCCCTACAAGCTACACGGCTGCCACGAATATGATTTAGCGTTTTTTTTGTCCACCTCTTTATTTCACTACTTTACCTTTGATTAGACTACCTTAGATTATCTACCGTAATCTTCTATCATTTCTTGGAGACATTGTGCTGATAACTGTTTTTAGCTTTCGCTTCAATTTCCTTCAAATTATTTTGAGTGAAACGTGGCTGTCATGCCGACAGTTTTGCAGATTTTTGATAATAAAGGATGTTTTGCTAGAAACATTTCGTTAAAAGTGATTTGATAAACTGTTTGAAATAAGTATGCACTATGCATTGATGACTTTGGATCAGCAATTATGACAGCGAGCAGCTAACGTAAAGCGCTAATGGATTTCGTCAGCTGCAACACATGCTGAATCGTGGTTGTCATTTAATCACATCCGCAATAGTATTATGCAAACTGCAAAGACAATGCAACATTTGCATTACATACAAACAATTAATACTTGAGTCGCCTGAAAACGTTCAGTACCTATCTCTGTCGGAGTTGTTTTAGTCGTCCAACTCCTTTTCTGCAGATGGTTCGTTTTCGGTTCGATCAAGCGCGAGCCCGATGTTTTGGGACTCTGCAGGTAGGGTAAGGGCGGGTAAGAGTACGCGGGCGATAAGAGTACGCATCAGCTGTTTCGGTTGCTTAACAACGCGGGTTTGTCGAGTTCATGAAGTAACATGAAGCCGCCAGTGCGTGCTTGTCACCAACGGAACGTGGGCGTTGAGCGGCGACGCTGTTGAGTTTAAGGCGATGAATATTATTTTCGAGCGTTATGATATTATTTTGGTATGGTACAATAATTTTGATACTTGGCAGTTGAGATAAGGTACATTTCCGTGATTGTTGTGGGAAACTTGTGAGGTTATCTTGGGAAATACTGTGCAGTGCAATATTCTGTTTGCGAAGTTTTGCACAACGTTTCGGGGTTGTTTTGTGAGCGAATTGCATGTACGGTAAGAGGACGCACTGTTCAGGAGGGTAAGAGTACGCAGAATTATACATTAAATCGAATATACAGAAATATAAAATTATTAATCTATCGCTCGATGACGTTTGTTTTGTAGGTATATCATCAATGGAGCACTGTGATGCAGATGCGTACCCGAAATTCTTCCAAATACGAGTTATTCTCCCTTTTGATTGTGCATTTTTCTTAGAAACACACGACATGATTATTTCCTGATTTATAGACTTGAAAGATTTGTTTTATGTTTTTCTTTTTGGATACTAGAATTAACTTAAATGCCTTCTGAGTTTGAAGTTAAGCATTTGGGCAGTACAAGCTGCATAGATGTGTGTTCATATGCTTGCGTACTCCACCCGCCTGGCGTGCGTACTCTTACACACCCCATATGGTAAGAGTACGCAACTGCAGCGGTTCAGAAAATTTCAGTTTTAGACCACTTCCATTTACGCTGAAGGATCGTTGCCCCATGGGTTGATGGCTAATTCAGTGAAGTTTAATATTCCCTATATGCGATTTCTTTCTTTCAAATATTAAACAAATGAGAGCAAAAAATCCACTAAGTGCGTACTCTTATACGACTTCACCCTAACCTGGGGTGTGCGCTTTCTGAGTTTCTGATGGAATTACTGCGGTGTGTGGGAGATTTTTACCTGGTGGTTTCGTAAGGTCTTGGTTGTTCTGTTTTTTTTTCATGAGTTGCGTTGGAATCGGTGATGTTTTTTTTTTGCACCATCTATAACAAACAACATATACATATGCATATTGTATAATTATACAGTGAAATAATCCCACCCTGGTTCAGTCATTTTTTCTCTCTCTGACGGTGTGTGACTGTTCGCTTATTTTCTGCCCTCGATGTTTCTCTGGCGTGGCTTGAAGCAGATTCGTCTACGATTGTTCGCAGTTTGTGGGAGATAGACGTGCAGTTTTCGATGTGCAAGTTGTGTTTGTCTGTGTGCCGTTTGTGTTCTGCGACGGTGCCAGCAGCCCCGTATCTGTCGTATTTTAATCGACGATCAAGTTGAAACCTTACCTTTCACCTTCCATTATTTCACCCTGTCGTTTTTCTGTTGGGTTCAATTTATGTCTTATGGATCGACCTAGCTGATATTACCTCATGCCGGTGTCCATTGCCTAATGACAACCACCGCCGGCGTTATGTGTGTCTGTCTGCTCCGCCTGTGTAATGTTGCGTGGCGGCGGTCCATTTCTGAGCCCGTTCGGTAGGAAGAGTGTCGGCGCGGTGCTGTGTGTGTTATGTGCGGCTACTGAGCCGGGCTCGGCCGCGCAGGGTCCGGCCCTGCCGCCGCCGACTCTGTGGGCCGGGCCGACCGTCGGTCGGTCGGTGGACTGCCGAGGTCGTTCGGTCGCCGTGCTGAGCTGTGTTGGTCATGGGTTATGTGTACCTCATGTCGGTCCCAGCGCTGTGTCGGCGTGTGGTGCTGTGGCGCCGGTACGGTGGCCGGACTGTGGTGGTGGGTTATGGTCGTCTAGTGTTTGCGTCACTGCTATGTGTTGCCACCGTCCGTCCTGTGCAGAGCAATTAGTTGTTATTTTTACCGAACCAGATTCGGTGAATTGAAGTGATTTCAACGTCCGGGGTTTCCTAATTTATTTGCTGTTTTTTTTTTGCTTTTTTTGTCTGTTTTTTTTTCTATGTCAGTGAATCGTCCTTTCCATATTTCCGCCTTATATGTTTTCATTATCTATCGTGGTTTGGGCTATTTGTTATTCAAATGTGACGCTTTGGGCTGTGGTGGCAGAAGTATTTATGTGGCTGATTTCTGTGCATCGTTAGAACCGGTCCGTACGGCTCTCGCGAGATTAAGCGGTAGGTTTTGCACTTTTACATTTCCGGTTATATCTCAGAAACTAATCGATCTACGATCATTTTACACGATCATGGCCATGGCCGGCTTGTGAACCAACAAGTCTATCGAATCTTCAACACTTAAAAGCTTGACGACGAAGATATATGAAATACACTACATTTTCTAGGTGTAAAACCTACCGCTAAAACCCGCGAGACCTGTACGTATGCAGTGCAAGCTTTGGGACCGTGGTGGTGGAGCGTCCCTCTCCTACTCACTGTCTTGTCTTCTGTACATCGGGCGTCTGTGCGAGCTTTGGGATCGTGGTGACGGAGCGTCCCCCTTCAGTTCGCTGTCTGTGTTCATATATCGGGCTTTGGGACCATGGTGACGGATGGTCCCTGTCTTCTGTACCTTGTTGCGCCGTTGTCTGTCTGGGCTTTGGGGCCATGGTCTAGCACCCCTCCCTCTCGTCGCGATGTGCTGTACGGACGTACCCCGGCCCCGACAGACGAGCCGCTGCCGGCCGAACGGTCGCCGATCCGGCGCAGCGGCAGACTCAGGGCTGGCAGCCACTTCTTCGGTAAGCGCCGCGCCGCAGCCGCCGCCACAGGCTGGCCGGCTGTGTGACTTCACTGCCGCGGGCAGAGGCAGAAGGAGACCGGTGCCGAGACAAAACCGGCTTATGTTTGCATGAAAACCGAATTGTGCCGGTGCGAAATATGTACCTGTGTTTGGTTTCATTGGTTAGGTAGTGGTTGTTTCAGTTCGTCTTGGTTCCGAATTTTCAGACCGGACAGCTGGTTTTGTCAATGTTTGTCGGTCTCCATGTCTCTGGCGCGTTCATGTGTTGTCTGGTCACCCCTTCAGTGTGTCTGGCATGATTTTCAACCTGATTTTCACCTCTTTCTTTCTATCTCGTGTCATGTGCTGACTTCGCCGTGTCGTGGAACTGGTAGATGCTTAGATAGCATATTGCTCGCTGACTGCAGATCAATTGATGTTGTGCGTGTTTGCGTGCCTGTGCGTCATCATGGTAGCTAGTTGGACCACTAAGCTCAGTCGTTGATGTTTGTAATAAGTCAGTTTTTGAGCGTCGTTTTGTGATGGGTATCGTTTGTTTGGTTTGGAAGCATGCTTGGTGCTGCATTTACATTTTACGACATTTGATGTCGGGACTACATATATGCTCCGTTTGTGTAGTGTCTAGCTGTTCGATGGCTGCCTTGGTTTTGGTCTTCGTTATTATTTGATCACCCTTTTTGAAGTAGTGCATGTCGTTTTAGATGATTTAGTGTAGACGTTTCCAGATGCAATTATTTTCCTCTCCTCCTGTCTGCTTTTTGTGTATTCATTGTATTTTATACCACTTGTATTATAAGACCACCACCATGCACATCGCGCGCTGTACAAACCTTGCCATCTCCTTTGTTGCCTGGAACACCTTTGTTTTGCTACCAACATCAGGTAAAGTAGTGTCGAACAATCCTATGGAAATTGTCCTTTCCACCACTTCACAAGTGTGCAGCCTACTAACGGTCTTGTGAGCTTGTTTGTATGACCTTGTTTGGGTTCAGTGTGTATTGCACTTTTGTTTGACGTTGGGTGCATTGTTTCTTGACGTAGGGTGCGCTTTTACTTTGTTTTGCTGTGGCTGGCTTATTGTATACCACGCGGGCTGGTTGGTTTTTGACCGGCATACGGTTCATCGGTTGCTTTGTGTGAGCGCATTTGCGTTTGAGTGTCAGACGTTCACTGCTAATAGGTGCGCTATATATTTTGATCGTCCTCCGACGGCCTGGCACGGCAAACCGCTGCCCTTCCTAACCGCGGTTTTGGGATCCTGCCGGACTCCTCCGCACCTGTTAGATCAGCATTGGCCCTCATAACATTGGATGGACCGCCATGGACGTTTCCGTACCCAAACCAGAAAGATCATAATGCATGTCTGGCTATCCTGCGTTTTACTTGGCCTTACCCTCGATCATGCTTCCAGCCCTGCTAGACTTGGTTACCGCTGTTTTCTGCCCTGGACTCCTACCTTGGTGACTCCTCCCTTTCTTCCTTTGACCTGAGTATCGTCTAACATGACCTACCGGTCCGTCTGACCCGATCTGAACTTGACCTGTTCTCCAATCGAGCCATCGTCCTTCCGCCCCTGAGATTGCGTGATTTTCCTGCTGTTTTCTGCTCCCCCAGCCGATCCCTCGCCCTTCCGTACTGTGGCCTGACCGCCCCTGACATTTGTTGCTTTGACCCGTGTATTTTCTGCTTCCCCATCTGAGCTCTCGTCCTTCCGTGTCCTCGCTTGCCCTGCCTTGACCTATGGATTCTCTGCTTTCCCAGCCGAGTTGGATGATGAGGAGGAGGGAGGATCCGAGGCCGACTTCCAACAGTGAGTACGGCACGGCAGCTGCAGCCGCCCGCCCGCGTCTCTTGTAGAAGTGCCGCCTCACTGGCATATCCTCTTCCTCTAATCTCTTGACTGTCTCAAACCTATTTTAGTATAATGCTTATCAGCGAATTTCTGCCAGCTCAAACTTTTCAAGGGAGGTTCAAGCCAGGAGTTTTGAAAAGATAACGATCATTTGGCAGCATCTCTCTGCTAGAATCCTGCGTATGCGCCTCAGTATGCTAGTTTTCAACAAGCCGCTTGCAGCTTTACTCGGTCTGCTATTGGTCACTGCCCATCGGTCTTACGATGAGTACCTAAGGTTGGACAATCGCTCACACTGTGATTGGTTTACAGGTGAGGTTTCTCTCGGCCACAATCTGCTTCTGCTGTAGTGCTAGATGCTTTTCCGGCCCATGCGATTCTGCGGTAGCTCGCTGAAAACAGTTGGCGAGCCTTGTGTTAGTGGTCCTCAATCGTGTAAATAGATCTCGTAGCGTTCAGCATCATCTGTTGGGAAATTCAAGAAGGTCTTGTGTGACGGACACGTTTCAAAACGACGCGACTTTATGTGAATCGTGAACGTGTTTGTTGACAATTAAACGTGCGTTCGTGCGACGTGTCTCGCCCGGAAAGCGGTAGTTTGTAACTCCGATCATTTTCGAACATCTCACTTTTACGAGTGTCTCACGAATCATGCGTAGGATGGCGTAGGTTATAACAGTAAGCTGCATGTTCAGACTTTTTATCATTTGACGCGCTGATGGTGCGCAGGGTGGCCGTTTTCCACGGAGTGACTTGGGTTTACGGTGTCAGATACGGTCAATGTTTGACAATGACAATGTACGGTGTCAGATACGGTCAATGTTTGACAATACATATTCCACTGCTGTCTGACTGGCTTTGTACGCTAGAGCTACTCGCGAAAAAAAACTCGACCGGAAGGTGAGTGAAGCGTAGTGGCGCTAATCTGCTCTCCTTAGTTGTTGGCCTTTTCTTTATTTCGGCTTGCTTTGTAGTCGCAGTTTATGCTGATCGAAATTGTCTTTGTTTTCATATGGGCAATTCAAAACGATTTGGATATTATGATGCTGTAAAATAATTCGTATGTGTCATGTACATTGTACACGACTCATTTAGTCTTCGCTTTAATCTTCTTCTTTTTTGTTCACAGATCTGTTATTTCACTTATCTGATACTCGGCGTCCGGCCGAAATGTATCGAGCACGCACTTTCCTACTAAAAGCGAAACGAAAATATTTAGCGGTGGAATAGACAAAGAACTGGTAGGCTAAAACCAAGCCATAGTTTCATGTTCCATGGTGGGGATAACGACGAAGGGATGCCCATGCTGCGGTTGTCTTGCCGTATATTCTACCGTCGCTATCTGCACCCCAGTCAATGCGACTCTCCGGTGTTCCGACCTCCCAGTCCTGTCCTGACCTGTCCGTGTGTACTCCCCCGCGACTACACCAGAGGCCGGCGACGGCGGCGCAGCACGTCGGCGGGTCGTAGGACGCCGTCCGCCGGCGGGCGTACTCCTAAACGACGGAAAGTCAGGTGAGAATGAGATTGACAGCTAAGCGAATTAGTGATTAAAACTCATTTGAGGGTCGAAAATATTGGGTCAGTTAGCGCGGCTCTATGTTTTATAAAATCATTCGTTGGGTGTGGGTAACCACCAATTGGTGAGAAAATCGAAAGTTTTTTTCCAATTTTGTAGTTAAAATGAATGAAAAAGTCACGAACGACGCTTTGTTATTTAATATTTTTGAATTTTACTATTTGTTCAATTGGCCACGCCGCACACCATCCAGTTACGTGCAGTACCGGGCTCACTTCACCCCTCTCCCCCTTAGTCTGGACGTTCGTGTAACGCCGCAGCGCCGCGGCGCCGGCCGCCGCCGGTCGGCGGGCACCCCGGAGCTCTCGGCCCGACTGCGAGCCGTCGCCCTGCGCGGCTCGGCCAGTCCACGCGGCGTGGGCGCCAGTCCGGCCCGGTCCCTGACGGCCGCACAGTCGCAGATCATTGAGATGTTTGAGTCGACTGAGGAGATGAGCACACCGCACCTGGCCGGGTGAGTTCTGGGGTTTGCTTTGTAGTGTTGCTGTTGAGTTCCTTGAGGGGACAGTCAAGTCGATGGATGCTGCCAGGGCCCTAAAGGCGCTGTGGTTGGCCAATGGCCAGTGGGGATTAATGTCTCTAGTTGTACCAAACGAAGCTGAACATTACGCTCCTGTTGTCTCATTTGGAGTGAACAGTGCGTCCAATATAACCTGTGTGACCTAAGAGCTACCCTGACGCTGACCCGAACTGATTCTCCCCCTCTCTAGTCGGTTCACCTCGACTCCTGCCGACGGCGGACCGTCGGGCGCGGTCCGCGAGCACCTGCACCGCCCGTCCCGCCGGGTGGGTTCCTATCTGGAGGCGTGGACCGAGGCGGACTGAGCTGGCACACCGGACTGCGGCGGCAGGACAGAGCAGAGGAGGTGGGAGAGTGGAGCTGGAGGTGGAGGATGTCACATACTGGATAGGAGGGCGGCGTACAGATGGCGACTCTGATTACACCTTGCCATGACTGCACAAACAAACATTTCGAGAGGTGGATATTATTCGCATATATTGAGACCGTTTCTTGAAGGTAGCCGAGAATTGAAGTCGGACTAATTGATGTCACAGCAAGGTGCTGTGATGTTTGCGCTGTTGCTGGATTTTCATTCTTGAGTTGTGCTGAAGGACCTGTATTGTGTAGATATCATCTCAGGAGAGTAGTAGGACATCCACTGCAAGCTCAAGCTCAAGGCTGTCTAGGATAAGACCGTCAACTCGAAATAGCGGCCATTCCACAGATATCCTCGAAAGAAACCCGTGGCTGTGGTTGAAGTATCGTTTTATACCACCGTTTCAATAAAGATTATTTGTTCGTTTTCAGTTCGCATATATTGATCGTTTCGCTATAATCAACTACATCGTTGAGTCGTGAGATTTTCCTGACTAGAACACACTCGATGTGTTGAAACTACAAAACATCAACTTGCGCATTATAACATGGACAGAACGCAGACAATTTGTGGAGGCATGGCAAGCCGGGATTCCATGTAGCCAGGATTCCATGTAAATTAACGACGCGTGCGGGCTACTCTTATCACCATTTCTTTAGCACAAAATCTAAGTATCAAACATGAATCCTTCACACATGATACCCTTCCTATATGCTACACACTCGCTCGCTCTAGCTGCTCCCTTCTCACTGCGGGCACGGTTCCGTCGGAGCCGGCGGCGCCGGCCGGGAGCTGAGTGAACGTCCGTTTCACTGGGGGCACGGTTCGGTGGGAGCCGGCGGCGGTGGCTGAGCTGCGTCACACCACTGCATCGGTAGAGGATCGGGCGGTATGCGCTGGATCTGGTCCGGTGTGGGGTGGGCGGACAGCTCCACCGGCGCCCCGGTCAGGGGCACGCAGCTCACCTCCGGCATTCTGGTAGACGAAACGGGCGTCAGATGTGCTCGGGTGGGGTGGATGTGGGAAAGCTATGTGCTGGTGAATTTCAAGTGAGTGACCTTGGTAGAAGCTTTCGCAACTGCAGGGTACGCCAGCTACCACACAGGTAGTCGTAAAGATTAATAGTACCTAAAGTAATCTTGGTAAAGATAGGGTCTTGAATTCGATCATGCTACGGACAGTGCCACTCTCGAAAGATGTTCAGTGTACGGCTGTGGAGCCCAGTTCGGTCATGTTCTACCGGACACCGGTAGCTTCACTCAGATCAACTGACAGGCGCCAGGCTGAGGGGGTTTGTTACTTACGGTCCGGAACGGGCCGAGTCGCGCGGAGCGAACTCGTTCAGAAGCGACGTGTAGTTGACGGTTTGCACCGGTTTGGGGAAGTCCCACTTCTCCCAGGGCTGGCGCAGCTGGGGGAGCAGACCAAACAGCAGTCAGCGGGCCCGTAACAATCAAATTATGAGGTGATAACAACAATTCGTGGTGGAGTGAAGATAAGGGGAAATGCGCAGCCGAGACCCAATATGGCTGTTGATGTAAGCGACATCTGCCGATGCTGGCGCCGTCGGGTGGTGTTCAGTTCGAACTGAGCAAATTAGTGGCAAAGAATTTCATGCTAGATATGACTGTCAGCCATTCAGTCATGGATTTCAACTGCCTGCTAAAATCGCAGTAAGCTTCCAGCTTCACTGTCGATTTAATGTGACTGACGAGTCACGCGAGTCGCAAGCTGTCTGGAAATGAACTAAGTTTTGTGTTTTGCTAAGGAGTTAGGTTTAAAGGGACTATCCCACCTTCTAAAATGTTGGTAAAACCAGTTAAATTGTGCCCGACTTTATAGATTGGATGACCAGGAACACGGTTCTGGCATTTATTTTTCATTAAACATCTTAGGCTTCCCATATTCCAAACACAAACTTTCAAATATGTGACGTCACAGCCCAAAATTACCTCCTTCCCCAGGCCACATTACTGTCATAAAGCTGATTCTTTTTACTCTGTAGGCACCACAACAAAGTTCAGACCAAGTTTTAAGCGATTTTTCAACGAACAAACCCATTTAAATCAGAATGACTAAACGAGGTGACGTCACACTAACGGTCGCTCCATGTTGAAGATAGGGCCTTGCGCAAGGCCCATTTTCAAATGAAGGGAACGAATTTCTTCAACACCAAGAGGCCGCGGGGGTTGCAACCTAGATAGATAGTGGTTTCTGAAGGGAGTGTCTAAAAAGCAGACGAGATTAGCAGACGAGCCCGTGCTCAGTAACTACTGGACCGATTTTGATAATTCTTTCACCATTCAATAGCAGGGAACTTAGATAGGTGCCGTTTTTCGTTTTTTGGCGATTGGTTCACTCTGACTGGACCAATCGGACCAAAACGGTCCAGAACCATACACCCCCTTAAAAGCAGACGAGCCCATGCTCCGAAACTACTGGACCGATTTCGATGAAACCTTCACCATTAGACGCGCCGTGGTCTGAAACGGTGCCGTTTTTGATAATTTTTTGATTGGTCCACCCTAAGTGGTCCAAATCGGTCCAAAACCGCTAAAATCTGTTGCAGACGAGCCCATGCTCCGAAACTACTGGACCGATTTCGATGAAACCTTCACCATTAGACGCGCCGTGGTCTGAAACGGTGCCGTTTTTGACAATTTTTGGATTGGTCCACCCTAAGTGGTCCAAATCGGTCCAAAACCGCTAAAATCTGTTGCAGACGAGCCCATGCTCCGAAACTACTGGAGCGATTTCGATGAAACCTTCACCATTAGACGCGCCGTGGTCTGAAACGGTGCCGTTTTTGACAATTTTTGGATTGGTCCACCCTAAGTGGTCCAAATCGGTCCAAAACCGCTAAAATCTGTTGCAGACGAGCCCATGCTCCGAAACTACTGGAGCGATTTCGATGAAACCTTCACCATTAGACGCGCCGTGGTCTGAAACGGTGCCGTTTTGACAATGTTTTATTGGTCCACCCTAAGTGGTCCAAATCGGTCCAAAACCGCTAAAATCTGTTGCAGACGAGCCCATGCTCCGAAACTACTGGACCGATTTCGATGAAACCTTCACCATTAGACGCGCCGTGGTCTGAAACGGTGCCGTTTTTGACAATTTTTTGATTGGTCCACCCTAAGTGGTCCAAATCGGTCCAAAACCGCTAAAATCTGTTGCAGACGAGCCCATGCTCCGAAACTACTGGGCCGATTTGGATGAAACCTTCACCATTCGACTCGCCGTGGTGTAAAACGGTGCCGTTTTCGATAATTTTTTATTGGTTCACCCTTAATGGTCCAAATCGGTCCAAAACCCCTAAAAACTGTTGCAGACGAGCCCATGCTCCGAAACTACTGGACCGATTTGGATGAAACCTTCACCATTCGACGCGCTGTGGTCTGTAACGGTGCCGCTTTTGGATAATTTTTTGATTGGTCCACCCTAAGTGGTCCAAATCGGTTCAAGTACAGCCCAAAAATACGTTTTCACGTAGTCAACCGATGAGCGGGTTTCCGCAGCGCGGAGGTGCCCCAGGCCCAATTAGCATGCATTTTTGCTCTAGTTTGGAAAGCAAAATGCATGACAATGGGTTTGGGGCACCTCTGTGCTGCAGAAATCTATCCGGACTCTGACAAAGTACAACCGGGTTTTATGCATTTTGGACTGATTTGGACCACTTAGGGTGGACCAATTAAAAAATTATCCAAAAGCGGCACCGTTACAGACCACAGCGCGTCGAATGGTGAAGGTTTCATCCAAATCGGTCCAGTAGTTTCGGAGCATGGGCTCGTCTGCAACAGTTTTTAGGGGTTTTGGACCGATTTGGACCACTAAGGGTGAACCAATAAAAAATTATCGAAAACGGCACCGTTTTACACCACGGCGCGTCGAATGGTGAAGGTTTCATCCAAATCGGCCCAGTAGTTTCGGAGCATGGGCTCGTCTGCAACAGATTTTAGCGGTTTTGGACCGATTTGGACCACTTAGGGTGGACGAATAAAAAAATTATCTAAAACGGCACCATTTCAGACCACGGCGCGTCTAATGGTGAAGGTTTCATCGAAATCGGTCCAGTAGTTTCGGAGCATGGGCTCGTCTGCAACAGATTTTAGCGGTTTTGGACCGATTTGGACCACTTAGGGTGGACCAATAAAAAATTATCAAAAACGGCACCGTTTCAGACCACGGCGCGTCTAATGGTGAAGGTTTCATCGAAATCCGTCCTGTAGTTTCGGAGCATGGGCTCGTCTGCAACAGATTTTAGGGGTTTTGGACCGATTTGGACCACTTAGGGTGGACCAATCAAAAAATTATCAAAAACGGCACCGTTTCAGACCACGGCGCGTCGAATGGTGAAGGTTTCATCGAAATCGCTCCAGTAGTTTCGGAGCATGGGCTCGTCTGCAACAGATTTTAGCGGTTTTGGACCGATTTGGACCACTTAGGGTGGACCAATCCAAAAATTGTCCAAAACGGCACCGTTTCAGACCACGGCGCGTCTAATGGTGAAGGTTTCATCGAAATCGGTCCAGTAGTTTCGGAGCATGGGCTCGTCTGCAACAGATTTTAGCGGTTTTGGACCGATTTGGACCACTTAGGGTGGACCAATCAAAAAATTATCATAAACGGCACCGTTTCAGACCACGGCGCGTCTAATGGTGAAGGTTTCATCGAAATCGGTCCAGTAGTTTCGGAGCATGGGCTCGTCTGCAACAGATTTTAGGGGTTTTGGACCGATTTGGACCACTTAGGGTGGACCAATCAAAAAATTATCATAAACAGCACCGTTTCAGACCACGGCGCGTCTAATGGTGAAGGTTTCATCGAAATCGGTCCAGTAGTTTCGGAGCATGGGCTCGTCTGCAAGAGATTTTAGGGGTTTTGGACCGATTTGGACCACTTAGGGTGGACCAATAAAAAAATTATCAAAAACGGCACCGTTTCAGACCACGGCGCGTCTAATGGCGAAGGTTTCATCGAAATCGGTCCCGTAGTTTCGGAGCATGGGCTCGTCTGCTTTTAAGGGGGTGTATGGTTCTGGACCATTTTGGTCCGATTGGTCCAGTCAGAGTGAACCAATCGCCAAAAAACGAAAAACGGCACCTATATAAGTTCCCTGCTATTGAATGGTGAAAGAATCATCAAAATCGGTCCAGTAGTTACTGAGCATGGGCTCGTCTGCTAATCTCGTCTGCTTTTTAGACACTCCCTTTCTGAACCTCGCCGCAAACTTGGCTATCTGAACTCAAACCCCATGTTAAAGGTGGGATAGTCCCTTTAACAGTGCGTCATACGACACAAGTCAGCCGTTGCTGCTGTCAGAAATTGTCTTCGAATCGAATCTAAGATTTTTACCTTAAAAAACTTGTGCAAATTAATCGTCCCGTCAATCGCCATCTACCCAACATGTGGGAAGCGTGTACGGCTTCAGCTTCATTATATAGCGCGATTACAGCATAATTTCCCACTCCTCGATAGTATAGTGGTGAGTATCCCCGCCTGTCACGCGGGAGACCGGGGTTCGATTCCCCGTCGGGGAGCTTTTTCGTATTCGACCACTGCTGCAAAAGCCACATGCAGATGTACAAAATTCCGCAATCCCATGGGCGTCGCCACCACTACGGACACTACGGACAGTGTCCGTACAAGTTTTGGAAGGTCCCAAAACTTGTACGGAATGTCCGTACAAGTTTCGACGACCGAAAGTGAGCTATTTGCATCATATTCAAATTACAAATGCCGTAAAAGCATTATCAATATTGCTATTTTTCTTGAAAGTATTCAGGATGTTTAAGTTTTGACAAGGAAGGAAGCAGTCCTTATCACATTTTTTCGATGCACATCTACCAGCTCAATGACTTGTTCTCTTTCAAATGCATTTGTAGATTAGGTGCCGATCGATTCCAGATGATCGCACAAGCTTGAAAGAATTCGCCTAACACTGCGGAGCAGTTGGCAGGGGACCTCCCCCTAGCCCTGACTCTCTCCTTGTTGAGCAGCAAAGAATACGGAAGGGCAAAATCAGCAGACTGAAACTGACTAGACCGGGTCGAACCGAGCTGAACAGAGTAGGGTGAGGGTAAAGGGCAGGGATGTAAAAATCGAAGACAGGCCGGGGTTGCTATAGAGAAAGGAGAATGAAGGGCATATAAGGATGGTTTTGAAGATCATGGACCGCTCACTCGTCAGGAAAAGAAGGGCACGACATGCAAGGGCATTGACGAATGGGAAGGAACTACCTAGCTGGGGCATCAGACAGAGAAGGCGCTGGGTTGGGCGGGGCACGGGAATCGACAGGGCGAAGGACAGGACAAAGATCAGGTAGGGATGGTAGAATAGGGTAGGAGATATGCAGGGGATATAGGACATGGCATATGCAGGACAGGAAGCAGACAAAACCAGGCACAGGCAAGATAATGCACAGGATAGAGCAGATGCAGAAATGTCAAACACTGGGCACAGGGAATGACGGTAGGTTCCGCGCCCTGTAGCGGGGGGCCGAAACGCCCCCCTGTCCTTTTCCGTCGATAACTCCTAAACGGTTAGAGATATCGCCGCCAAACTTTTAGGACCCCTCCGGACATCAATTTTACACATTGTAACCAATTTTTTTTCCAGAGGCTATGATAGGTTGGCCACAAATGACGTCAGAGTGACGTCATGTTCTGCCATTTTCGACCGAAAAAAGACCTTCGCAGGAAGAGCTGTCAGGTCTACAGCTTTGAAGATACAGAAAAATGATCAGACATAAAAGGTGTATAATTGACAGGGCTACAAAACTGCCATCTCGGATTTTTGAAATTTTCGAGTTTTGACCCCCAAAAATAAAAAAGGCATTTTTTTGGATATATTAGCCAAAAAATCCAAAAAGTTTTTTGAATTTCGAAAAAACGGAATATATGTGATAGTGCCTATCGTCTTCTATCTACATACCAAATTTCAGATCGATATCTCCTTTTTTGGCCAAGTTATAGCGAAAAAAAAAAACTGTTCAAAAATGATGACGTCAAATTTTCAAACTCAATTTTTGGCAATTCTAGACCACGTAGGGTAAAACAAAGACCACCATTAGACTCCCCGTGACGAACTGCATCGAATCGATACCCATTTTATGCAAAAACATTAACTTTGAAATTTGACCTAATTTGACCTGACCTTGACCTGACCTTGACCTAAACGTGACCTAAGCTGGCCCAAAAGGCTGCCTGACCCACATAATCGCATTTGTCATGTAAAATGGACCATAAAACATGTATCACACGACACTTTCATATTGTGACTCCCCAGTGACCTGACCTCTGTGACCTGACCTGGGATCAGTGACCTCAGATAGCAAAGTATGTGTTTGACGAACGGTGTACCATCGATGGTTTTCAATAACTTACCAATTTACTCGATTTCACAACGCATTTCTTGAAATGCCTGTGAACGGTGAAAATCCGACCTTTGACCTGACCTGTGACGTCATCGGTTTGACCTAGGTCAATGAAATTTTGTCACAAGGTAGTTCCCCGACGGGGCTATCAAACATCGTTTGAATTTTGAAAATCGGCCGGTAAATTTCCGAGATCTTAGGTGGGGGCCGAAACGGCCCCCCCCCCCCCCCCCCTACGGGTGGTAGGGTCCGCCGATAGCCCTACGGGGCGCGGGATAAAGTACGAGACAGAGCACGCCTTTGCCTTGGACAACAGGACAGGGGACAGCGCGGGGCACATGGAACAGAGCACAGGAAGGACGGCACCTGCACAGGGAAGGACAGAGCTCAGTTAGGCAAGGACTCAGTAATACAAGGGCCTGTGAGAAAGAAGACTATGTCCTTCAATATGGCCATGTGAAGAGATCAAATATCGCTCTAATGTGGGTCCCACAAATGTCACATTCATGCTAATCAGAAACAAGTATAGGTATCATTATTTGGAGAACACAAGTGTTTCCCATCGAGCAGGCCCAAGCGACGTGGGGCGATATTCTAATACGGGGAAACCGTAATTGGAAAGAATAAAGAAAAAACCAAAAGTGCTACTAACGTTAGTGAAAATGTTGTTCGTGTTGTTGTTCATGATGAGCACAAAGTTTGAAACTTCGAGTTAGAACTGTCAACTGACTGGGCTCAGCGATCGCTGGCCCGACATTCTCCAAGGCATGTCCTGGAGCCCTCAGAGGTCGACGCAGGCTCTCAGAGTCAGGTGGGGCCCTCAAAATTCTACTAGGGACCCTTAGAGGCCGGACTGAGGCCCTCAGAGGCACATGCAAGGCTAGGCACTCATAAGCAATGGGTCCTTTCGAGGCAGGTTTGGGCTCCCGTGAGCTGGAATGGGGCATCAAGAACTGCATGGGAGTTAGAGAGCTCAGCTGCGTTGGACCCCTAAAAGTCGGCGTGGGCTCCTAAAGGTCGCCTGGAAGCTCGAGATATCTGTAGCGGTCTTCAAAGGTTTATATAGGCCCGCCCCTCGGTAGCCAGGGAGGCCCTCAGAGGCCAACAAAGACTCGCAGTAGCTAACGCTGAATGTAAGGGCCTGAACTCGACGACGCAGGCTTAGTCATTCTTAGTCAAGTCATTTAAAACACCCAGTCATCAGGAAATAGACGTTTTTCTTTTTCTTTTTGATGGGTCCATGGTTCAAGTAGCGCTTGCATATTTGTTTGCGATATGTGGATGTAGGAGGTTATGTAGACGTAGGAGGTGTCTGCAAAAAGATATGTTTGATTCTCATGTATTCTGGATTGGGATGCTAGAACACATCCTGTACCCTATTATACGAGATATACAGGAGTGCTTATCTACCTGCTCAAGCATTTCCTCATTCTACTGCATTTCGATAATAGACAATATACTCGTTACGTTAAAACTTAAAAGTGTCCCATTCATGATTCAAATTTGATTTAGGCTGTTCAAATTCAAATTTGATCTCTCGTTGAATACACCATGCAAAACGCATAACGTTTGGTACACTGTAGTGAGATAATAGCATTGTTCATGGGGTTAACACTTCTGACGAATGAGACGACCGACATAATGTGTCCGTACAAGTTGGGGAGCCGTGGCGACGCCCCTGCGCAATCCTATACGTATTTCAAAACTCACCCATTCGCAACCTTGCTCACACGCCTACACGATTATAAACACATGAGGGGAGAACCGACGCCACAACAAAGCAGACCGAATTCAGCAGCTGGTCAGTCATGCCATGTCATGACTTACCCTGGGTTTCTTTTCTGGCATGGGCACCGGGTTCTTCTCCCAGTCCAGCAGCTTCAGGAACTCGCAGAAGTTGACCGTGCCGGCCTGTGTCCGCGGCAAACTGAAACATCCAACCGACTAGTGTCACCCATACAAATACATTAAAAAGTTACCGCATTCCACAACCTCGCTCACCGACCATCATGCAACTGTCGTCATCCTGCAACAGCTGACCATCCTGCAACTTTTGCATCCTGCAACGTCTCTGTTCACACCTACACAGTGCACCCCACATCACCTCAGTCCTCACCATCCTACTCACCACTGTATGATCTCGTGTACCACGTCCGATGGCAGCGGCACCTGCTCCTGGCGTAGCACGTTGGTGATCTGATAACCGGGTACGTCGCCGGTACGGTACGGGTCGTGGTGCATCAGACCGTCCTCGATGCGGGAGATACACTCCGCTGTGGGTGTAGGAGAGGTGGGTGGGGGTGAAGCGGGGAAACATTAGAAATCGAGATGGGATTTGTGAGCGATAACTACCATTCACACGCCAGTTGATATTTTATGCAGTTGGTCCAAAGCGGCTATGTAGTATGTACGCATTTCCGTAACATAACGATCATTTTGGCAAAATTAAAGAAAAACACGTTAAGAAGTTGATTAGTGTGGAACCCAAGAGCGCAACATACGTACAGTGCGATTGATACACTTTTTAACGACGATCCCATGCTTTTATAATTATTTATCTCCCAAAGACCATCTCTGCCACCTTTGCAGCATGGTGCAACAGGATGATGCAGTCCTCCATCAGCTATCATCCATCGGCCTACCACGTCTCCCCTTCAGTCTGACTCACCTCCCAGTTTGTGTTCCTTCATCACCCGCTGCAGGTAGCCGACCAGCTCCTCCTGAGACGCGTACTCGGTCGTGTTATGATCAGCGCAGAAATGACGTCCCAAGGTGATGAGTTCGTGTTCACTCAGCACCGCACCTGGTGAGGTAGGTCAGGGGTCGGGAGGTCAGAGGTTAGCCCGGAGAAGTTGAGGTCGGCGAGACAGAGTACAGGTCAATGTGGCAGGTCAGAGGTAATCCGGGGAAAGAAGCGGTTAGCATGAGGTTGGCTAGACAGGGCACAGGTCAAACCTCAACATGACTAACAGGTCAAATCGCCTGGACGCGCCAAAGGGATCACGCCTCACGGCCAGTGACAGATGTTAAGTTTCTGCCATGTTTTAATTTTTTATGGCGAAAATACTTTTATTTCACATTACCACAGGGTACATTTTGATGACACACTAGACACTACCACTCATATACCGTCAGTGCTTTGGTTTTGCACCAAATATTTCGCCCCATGGAACCTCGAAGTCGCTTGGGGCTAGCTTTCTCCCATTCTCGATGAGCTGGCCAAATACGCTGGATTTTGATGAAGAAGCTGGTGGAGTTACTTCTGCGTCTACGGCTGAATCCGACTCTTCTGCCGGGCCAGACGTGCGTCCTGCGACGCACCCAACGTGATGGGGACCAGCTTCAGGAGGGGCTGTGGCGAGGATAGCGGCGGAGTTTCCCCGGATGATCGCTATCGAGACTCTTTGTAGAAGCCAGGACACTTCTCTGGGGTCCTTAGTCGCCGCAGAAATCCGACCGCCGATATCCCGGAGCAGCTTTGACCCTGCTTCTCCGACTACGCCGGTAGTCTCCACTGCTACTGGAGTGAAGATGTAGCGGTCTGCAAGACTGGCGTAGCGCATGCGCTTCAGGTTCTCGGCGGCGGCTGCAGCTGCGCCGGGATCCACTGCACACTTCACCACGTGTGACTCAGCAAACGTGTCAACGCATGTGGCGTCCCATGTGAGGCTTCGACCGGCACTGAAGGGGAACGTTGTCAGTCCGTCGGGGCGCCTTCCATCTCCTCTGTCTAGCCCCACAGGTTCTAAGACCGATGGTACGCCAGCGCTTGCCAGTGCTCGCTTAATGACGTCATTTAGGGCTGCGTGCCGTGGGAAGCGACCGGCGCTCTTCTTACATGATAGGCCGTGGTGTCCCAGCCTGTCCTCAGGGCATCCACATAGCTTGCATTGGTGGGGCTCACAGATGGGCAGGCCTAGTCGGAGGGCTACCGCTATACGAATGGTCTCATCATCAATGTACAGTCCCAGGCTGGGGATTGGAGGTGCTTGCAGCCAGGCTGCAGTATGCGGCATACAAGCAGCACCGAGACGAGCGCGATGCATCTGATTGGCTCCGGCGATCAGGCGGTTAGCGGTGACAGTTGACGCGATGTCGTCCCAGGTCTTTTGGAGGCTGGCCGCCGGGCGTTCTGGAACAGTCTCGATGCCAGTTGCAGCCATGAACTGCTCCGTGGCTGGTTGCAGTGCCGCTGGCTCAGGGCCCGTGAAGGCTGAAGGGTAGATAGATAAAACCAGATAGATACCGGTTTGTTTTAATTGTCTGCTTTATATATTAACACAGCATGGCTCTTGTATTTTATAACCGCGCGGGTCTCCGTACGCAAACAATATTTTTATCGACTAAAACCAGCTACTAATGTATCCTTTCCACCCAGTCTCGCTTTTCCTCGGGACTACGATCCTCACCGGCGTATTTGCGCAGGATGTTGACCATCTCGGAGTAGCTGCACACGTGCTCCCGCACCCGGTAGCCCTCGTTGAAGTCCTTGTGCATCTGGCGCTGGCCGTCCCGCGAAATGTGCTGACGCAGCTTCTGAATAATCTGAGCCGGGTTCGCCTTCTCGTACTGGAAACGAGCACGCTGCTGGTTAGAAGTGATGGTGGAAGTTGAAGAAACGTGTAAATTATCAGATACATCTAACCTTGCTGACCAGCATGTACGATGTGTACGGGCATTCGGCAACCATCCGTTCCAGCCGTTCGTTTTCCATGCACCGTTAGTGCGTACCCCCACAGTGTATATAAATACCCCTGCCAGGCTGCCAGCCGTTTGTCTTGTGCCGCCGTACCACTACGCTGTGTAGTGTGTACCGGTACCTACCCGTCCTGGCCGTTTATCCGTGTAGCGCAGCGTATACTCGTCTGCAGCCACCAGCCGGAACCTGTGCTTGTTGATGACGAGCTCAGCTCCCACGTACAGATCCTCGGAGACGTAGCAGTCGGGCAGGATAGCGCAGTCGTTGTAACTCTGAGGGTCGCGCTTCACGGGGCCTCGCTCCAGGAACCGCCCGCCAGCGATACCTGCCCAGGGGGGGGGGGGGGGCGTCATATGAAAGTCCTAGCGTGCATCGTATGTCGAACGGAACGGAGGTAAAATTATGTGGCCAAAATGGATTTATGCCATGATGCGAGAACGGTTGTATGAACCGATTCAATTTATGTTACGTATGCCACGTCCCGTACTAACATAGCAATAGTATTTATAACACATTTGTATGACACAGTGATAGAATGCACTGCAAAAATCCCCAGTCCAACCCTGTCCTCTGATTAATTGCACTGCTGCAGACTGCCACTGGTGGCCCCAGACCCCGCAGGCCGAAGTGCTCTACCCGCCTCACTGACCGCTGTTAGGAATTGCCACCTCGTAGATGGACAGCGTGTCGTCACTGAGGAAGAACGACAGGATGAACTGGCGACTGGCGTCGATCCGGCTGTCCGTTACCATACGCGCAGAGAAGCGTAGCACGTTTCCGTCCAGACCGTTCCTGATGATCAGAGAGACGGGGTGACTGGTGAGTCGCTGGAGATGGCCGTAATGGAATCAGTGAAAACTCGGCCTATTTATGAGTGTGACTAGTGGAGAGGTAGTTTGATCATCCGGATAGATTATTAGTAGGGTGCGGGAGCTGGGAGGCGGGATGGTAATAGCCATCGCAGCCTTATACTACGTAACTAAGTAGTATAACGATGCATGACGAGGTCGTATCACGGGTACAACAGCCTGTCAACCATTTGGAATTCGTCGGTCCGATCACGAGGCAAAAGTATAAAGGCGTTCCATTCCCAATATCCGTAGAAATGAAATCAAACCCCCTAAAAGGAGCAATAGAGTCGTGTTTCCCGATAACACATGCACCATGCCCGGACGAGCCCCGTATAACCTCTCACCGGTCGTTCTCCATGAACTTATTGAAGTCCTTTTTGGGCGCCTGCGGTATGAGGTTGAAGACGGATGTGAGCGTGTCCTCCTCACTGCCGAAGCCCAGGTAGGGCGGTACCTGACGCGGCGGGTCCGGCTTCTTCGGCGGCCGGTACGGACGGCCCTCGTCCAAATCTGAGCGCGGGGACACGCAGTCGTAGTTACCGCATAGGAAGACAGCTTGGGCGTGCGTGTCTCAATGAGGAGTGAAATCAAACCAGGCGTTTCCACATTTCAGCTGTGTTCTACGGGGTACTGGCGTTGGAGTGTGGTTCGGTTCTCACCTTTGTTGTATTTGAGTTTGTAGTACTCCCTGGTGAAGGGGTCGCAGTCCGTCAGCACCACTTCCCTGCCCCAGACGTTCACGTGCGCTCCGATGCACAGATCCGAGTCGCTGGAAACGTGACAGGCTAGGGTTAGAGCTTGTTTGGTAGCTTCAGCAACTGTCTTATATAATTCCTTCGAGTGGAACGTTACCATCGCAATGAGAACCTAGGGCAAATAATGGGGTCGCAGCGCAGTCATGATTCACAGACTCTAAATTTTCATTTAAAAGGTACAACACTTGCGTCTTTTTTGCGTGTATCAGTTAGCAGTGAGAAAATTGGCATCTTCTTGACAGCCCTCTTCAGGGCTGCGGAGTCGGAGTCGGAGTCGGAGTCGGTCGGAGTCGACAGTTGTGACCGGAGTCGGAGTCGGAGTCGATTTTAGAAACCCGAGCCGGAGTCGGAGTCGGAGTCACCGAAAATCTGTCGACTCCGCAGCCCTGCTAGGTCTGCGGAGTCGGAGTCGGGAGTTGGAGTCGGTCGGAGTCGACAATTCTGCCCGGAGTCGGAGTCGGAGTCGGAGCTGGTTTTTTAAAGCCGGAGTCGGAGTCGGAGTCGGAGTCGCCGAAAATCCATCGACTCCGCAGCCCTGCCTCTATTAAACAAATATGCCTATTTTCCGCATTGCATCATTCCCCCCACATAATTTTCAAGCCTGGGGACTGTCCAGCGAACATACAACAATCCGACGAGTTATATAGCCTTGAATCCGACCGTTTCCAGTTCTACGACTAGGGCTTCAAAAGTCAGGCTATTTCGCGAGCGTTTCGCGACTCAAAACATGCAGGACCTGGACAATAAGTTGGAGTCAAATGATTAAGGTTGGGTTTAGGAAGATTAGGTTTGTTTGGGTTATGTTGTCAGGAGCACACTCTTTTCACTTTTACACAGGCCTTCCTGGAAAAATGTTTCTACAGGTCGCTCATTTTGTTGCAAAGGTCAACGGATATTTTCTGTTGAGCTTGAATGCGCCGCAAGTGCACCACACAGTACGCGGCGTGGCATAGTCTTCATGATGGTCAAAGGATGAGCAGTGAAAGCCTGTTAGTGGTGCCGCATCGACCCACTCGGCAGGATACACCCAATGTTTCAGTCGATGTTCCAACTGCGCTGCAGCTGTCGGCGAGTCTTCGAGTGCAGCATCGATGGAGGAGCGTCGCGGAGGTCTGGCTCTGCTGGGACCGGGCTGGTCCACCGGACCGGGACCGGAATGGCCTCCCTGGTCTCCGGACCGGCCTCTGCGGGTCGTCGCCATCAACAGCTCGTCCTACATCTCTGTGAAGCAGCGGCCGGACGGCTCGTTGGCCTACAGCGGCTCCCTGTTCCAGCTATGGCAGGTGGTGGCCGAAGAGCTGGGCCTCAGCTATGAGATGGTGGCACCACTCACGGACGGCTTCGGCAGTCAGGACGGCAACGGCACCTGGACAGGGGTGATTGGAGACCTGGTCCGCGGACACGTCGACTTGGCGCTGCAGCGACTGACCGACACCCCTCAAAGGGCCGCCGTGGTTGATTTCCTGGATGATGTACCCATTGATTTCTGGAGCCCCAAATATTTTGTTCGGCGCGACACGGCGGTGCCGCCGCCTCTGTCCTCAATGATGTTCGCTATCCTGTTGCGGCCGCTGGGCGCCGACGTCTGGTGGACGCTGGCCGCCGCGCTGCTGGCGCTCTCGCTGGTGCTGCGCCTCTCGCTGCGGTTCAACAGCGCCAGAGCCGAGGACGGCCGGCTGGTGCGCGACATGGGCTGGGGCTCGTGTCTCTTCGCCATGGCCATGACCATCGTGGGCCAGGGCTGGAACAGGACACCGCAGTCGCTGGCCGGCCGCACAGTGACCATCTTCGGCTGGTTTCTGGGCATCCTGATCTGTAACAACTACACTGCCAACTTGATGTCGTTTCTGGCGGTGCCAAGAGTCAGCCGACCCATCAGCAGTATTCGCGAGTTCGTCGAGCAGCCCGACTGGACTCTGGCGATGCACAAAGGCGCGCAAAAGCTGAATGACTTTAGATCCAGTACTGATCCCGACGAGCGAGAGATGTATCGACGATCAATTACCGGCGACAGATTCGTAGCGTTAGATAGTATGGCTAAAGGCGAGCTGCAAACATTCCAACCAAAACTGATGGTGTTCACCGATTTTGAAACACTTCATCAGTTCCTTGGCGATGAGGCATGCAACTATGTCCCGCTGTACACCACACCGATCAAGCCCATCCCACTCCACATGGCAAATCCAAAAGGAAGAAGCGACCTCAAGAGAGTCATCACCAAGATGCTGCTGAAGTTGCACCAAACAGGCTCAGTGTCGCGATTCATACACTCTGTTTGGAAGCCTGATCAAAGCATGTGTGATCCACCTAAAGGATTTACAGAGTTGTCTTTTCACAACCTAATGCCCGTTTTCTGTCTGATGCTTCTGGGGATAGTTGCCAGTCCGGCCATACTGGCACTGGAGCTGTTCTTGCGCAAGGTGTCACCGACGAGGCGTCACCAGAAATGAAGAACATCAAGCGAGGTAGCGTCTGGTGGCCAACAGACCTGGTACGTCTGCCAGTGATGCTGCACGACCTACAGGGCGGTGAGGAGCGATAAACCGGACATGACGGACCAGCCGCAACACGGTCAGACTGGCGGAGTGCGGACACGGCATCACACGACGCTTGCCACAAGACCGTCCAGGAGTCTGTGCTGAACAGTATGATCCGAGAATGTTGTTCCAGATACTGTTCTAGTATTCTCCGACTTGACCTTATCGGACCCCCATTCCCCCCCCCCCCCGTCATCCTCATGAAATGCTTGTGTTCTTAGTGCTTGGGGCAGTTTCGATGACTTGAAGGGGCCTGACTAGTGTGACGTCTTGTGAATTACATGATCTTTCGGGAGTGCCGGTTCTGCCTCTCTCTGAACTCTTTTATGCACAATGAAACTCTCTGTGCCTACCTAATACCTTTGGTGTTCAGACATAGTGTTGAACATAAAATAATACCTCTTGTGGAGATGCATTAGTATGGATAAGCAGCCAGCCATAAATCTAGACAAGGGCTGACTTTGGCTGACCTACCAAGTATTCGCGCAGTCAGTTCGCACTCTGTCATTGTTTTATCGCCATAGCCTAAATCAGCGTACTGGAGCTTAGCCGGCAGCGTTACACATCAAATCCATAACAGCAAGACAAATGTGAGATTGTACGATGAAGCAAACAAACTCCGAACGACCGTACTTACTGGTAGAAGTCGGACGGATGGTAGTTGTTGTTAAGGTTGTCGAAGATGAAGTGGCGGCCCATGCCCTTGCCGTAGATATCTCCGAACGTATTGAGTACTGTACGGGGACACTCGACTCCGGGACGCGGCAGGGCCTTCAGTTGCTGCGAAACGGCAGTGAACGGGTTTGGTCAGGCAGGCCGGGTTTATATCTTCAGACAATAAGAGACGTGCGACTACCAGTGTGTCGTCTTTTCCGAAAGAGACTTTTACGCATATTCCACAAGAGAACTAACTAATAAAGCACTCCCTCTCATCTCCCGCTCTCCTCCTCCCTTCCCCCACCCTCACCTTGGGTAGTTTGCCGCGCCGCACCAGGCTGGGCGCCTTGTATCGCCCGGCGTTGTGTCCGACGATCTCCTTTAATTCCACCGTGTCATCGGCCAGATAGTAGAGCAGCACCAGGTCTCTAAGCTCGCCGTGCGGCACCGGACGGTCGTCCCAGTAGCCCCAGAAACGCAGCACCTTACCGTCGTAGTGCAGAAACTGGCCCAAAGTGTCCACCTTCTTGTAAGGCTTCAGCGGACGCATAGAGCGCTCGTGCTGTAAGGTGATAGACAGAAGTGTAATATATTTGTTGGCACGGTAGGGCGGTGAGTGCAAAGTGTAGCTTGTCGCAGTGGCTGGATATGCACTGTTTGTGCGGCGCACTGAAGGCATGGCCTACCATTTGACCGAAATCACTAAAACTTCCATTCGATAGCCAGCAATAACCGGAGGGCTGCCAAGTGCCAACCGCGTTATCCCAATTACAATCCGAAAGGTCTTTATGGATATAAAAACGAGCTGGCAGCCTCAACCACTATTCACATGACATGAAACTGGTTCACTATCCTCATGCCAGATTTTATCACTATTCTCCACTCATGTCAACAAGACGCATCCCAATCGTCTCAGTAACGTGACGTCACACTCACGTCGTTTCTCTGCTCCATGTACGGGTCGCTGGGGATGCACGAGTCGGGGTTGACGCGCACGCCCAGCTTGGACAGGAAGTTACGTGTGAACGTGTCGCACGAGGTGATGTGGTAAATGGTGCCGTAGAGCGGCAGGTCGCGGCCCACGTTCAGGTGCTCGATGGTGTAGAACTCACAATCGTCCGGCTCCGGTAGGGGCACTCGGTGACGGTGCAGCAGCGTGCCTGGGAAGTTGGAAACCACAGGATGGAGGGGTGGTATGATGGAAGTGACCACTAAATGCTTACAATACGAGATGGGTTACTCTGCAGACTAGGACATCAGAAATAAATATAGGTACCTACATGCGTGAAGTGAATTACGACTCCCGTGCGCATCAACTGCATAGTCATTAACGAAGAAATATTAAATTAGTGAATCACAAAATGTAGGAAACGGGTAAGCATAAGATATGCCATCAACGAACCTGACTGCACAACAAACGGTATGTTTGTCCACTTTCGTCTCACGAGTCACGGCCGATCACTGCCAAAGCGGCGTTCCTCACCCTGGGGCAGCTGGCTGTTTTTCCACTTGGATTCGATCACCTCTATAGTGTCGTCCTCTAGATAGAAGTGGATCTTGACGGCACGGATCCGACCCCGTTCCAGCTGAGAGTTCTCCACCCTGTCCGTGTAGTAGCCGCGAAAGCGCAGGACCTGACGTTGGCAGCGATTGGCAAGGTATGCGTCAGTCTGGTGGTTCAGTCGCACCGGGCTCAGTATACAGTATTTACTACAGTATACACTAAACATGTGATGTGCCGTCAATGGCAATTCGGAAACAGCCATATGAGCTATTTCAAGTTCAACTTAGACGGCGCAAATGTTTTAATGTTATCGCATTCCGATTATAAGGATACAGTGCAACGACTATTGATTAAGATAAGACTTAGTGAAGCAGCAAATTTGGATAAATTTAGTCGAATGATCGATGCGAATTCGGAAAGGTAAGCTCTATTCTAAACACTATGAGTAGGTACGAGAGAGATGTCAGACGGTCACCTGTTTATCGAATGCAACCCAGGCGGGCAGACCGGGCCCGGCTGTCCGAGGGTAGAAACTGTGACGCGGGATCCGCTTGGTCCAGCCGGGTCGGGGCAGGTCACGGCTGCCGATCTCCTGTGGGATTCAACAAGGAAAAGGTCACTAGGACACCGTAGGGACACACGTCAATTGAGACATGTGTTTACTGCACTGCAGCGTAAAGCGCGTAAGCAGAGGTCGTAATGAGAATACATTTTAATTATTGACGGCCTAAGTTGATTATTATTCCTGCATATATGTTAGTTTTACATAGTGATTTATCACTCTCATTAGCTGTCGAGTGTCGAGCGTCGATCATAAGATGGATTGTTTTTCTGAATGAGGGTTTTGAGTGTAAAGAAGGCATGCTGAAGTAAGACTATTTAGTCGACTGATCGGCCGAACTTTGGTGTTTTTATAACTGACCGTCTTACCTGGTCGATATAGAATCGTTGGTCTTCCTTGAAATCAAATCGATGAGGGAGATGGTATCCCGGCTTCAGGGAATGCATCCTCTATAAAAGCAAAAGCGCGAAAGAACGGCATCAGTACATTCGTAAGTTGGATGGCATGAGTTAGACGGTCTGCAGGACAAGGTGAGACCGGCAAACCAGTCGATCGAAACGGTTCCAATGATGCCTGTCAACCAAATAGCCAAATTTTATATCACATTCGCTATGTGAGCAGGCATGTCAAGGGCCTTTCGCCCACGTACGCTTCTCTCATTTCTATTAAGCACTATCGAATTAGGAAGCGTTCCACCTACCTTTCCAATTTCTGAATATCCTGGCAGAAATGGTAGAGACATCTTGCCCTGCGAGTAGATAAATAGCAAACTGGTTAGTGTCGCACGCACATGTAACGAATAAAACGGCAGCTTCGTTCTTGAGAGAATCTTACTCTGAAACCAGTCCCTTGTAATTCGCACCGTTAAACATTGTGTGCTTGATGGGCATAGCGTTCACAGAATTGTCCTTTTGTGAAGCAGTACGCGTTTGATGTGTCACAAATGAGGAGTAGGTATGCTAGCTTGTTTCACTGACAGTCAGAAGCAAAACAGAACATACGACTCAGGCATCACGGCCTTTCTGTAGTTGATGACATACCTCCTTACTTGCCGACAACGGGGTGATCAGCAACAATCCACTCACAAGAGGCAAAGGCTACATATGTAGTGCACAAAATTTGGCATTAACAACACGCAAAATATAATGTGACCGATTTCGACAACTTTCCTTTGCTCTGCAAAGTGATTCTACAATTTCTCAAAGCGAATATCGAATGAAGACTATTGTCTCGTTCCATGCCTCGTCGGTTGCTAAGTGTCATCGGTTGCTATGGCAACGCAAGCGACCCCGAGGTCCTCGCCCGAGGCAATCGAAACACCGACGCTACGAGCCAAGGCTGTTGAACTCCTACGAGCATCGTAGATTCTAAACGACACGGCTGCACGCACATCAGTAAAGAACATTCACTCCGCCGTTTCAATTTTATCATTGATTAGCCCACAATGTTACAAAGAGGTTCAATAAGGCATAATTAGACATTTATTTCCAAACGGCTCGCAGTTTATGTAAAATATTTCGACGCAACTGCCACAAAACGGGAGTATGAAAACATGGCTCACCACAGTATACAAAATCGTTGTGACAGGGACGCAGTCCCACGTGAATGCATGATGTAAGGCCCAGCGGGTTCATATCGGACAAGCACAGACCTTCCAGCGCACGGAGTTTTCGCCTCGGTCATCACTTACAATGCGGCATAACTGGATAACTGAAGACATAAACACATAAGCATTCGATGTAACCAAACCGCATAGGAAAAAAATATGGCGATGGAACCGATGTTCTTATAAGAATGTTGCGACTATTCATGATGACATGTCTCGTCTGTCGATTCGGACAGGACTGCAAAATAAAAACAAGCAAAAGCAAGAAAATTTGCACGCCTCGAGGTTAGACCTAAACGAATAACGGAAAAGACGAGATTACACGTAATGCAAAGCCCCGATATGATAAATCGCCACATCACGTAAACATTTACACCACGCCAGTCACACGTTCACTGATATCGCAGGAAGTTCAGTTGCACGCCATAAATGTTACCAGTTTCGCGTCCTCCCAGTCCAGAGTTCCTCCATTGCTCGCTCACGTACCAGCCGTCCTACAACTGTGGTGTCACGTACACCCTAGTCCGTGCTTCTCCACGTTCTGGCCTAGCGTCATCACTCGCATCACTTCAGTACCATCACGTCATCACGCGACGTCACGTCCATCACTTCACCACATCACATTGCTGCATCGTTATCAGGTGACGTCTTTCATTCCACATCATTGGGCGACTTCCTCGCTCGCATCACGTTATCATATCGTCCTTAAATGACTTAACTCTTCTCTCGCTACCGCCGTGTATAACGGCCCAGCTCCTTCTCCCGTGTACCATGTCGCGTCACTGCCGCTGTTTCAACAGTCCCACGTCCGAATCATACCACATTCCCTAGATCAGTCGTCTGACTCGCTGGCTGCGCGCTACCACTCCGATCACAGTTGGTGTCCGGTGGACCCGCGGCCTGAGGCAGCTCGGGTTTTCCTCAGATACCGCCGCTGCCACAGGGGACGCCACAACAACCGCGGGTGTGTCTCAGCATCAGTGGTATCACTATAAAAATAGCTCTGTGGTGTCTAGAGGTGCCGTCTCCGGCGTTATCTGCGCAGCTGGAAACCGGCTGTGCCGTCGGGGCCGCGCGGCTGACGGCTGACGGCCTGCGCCGACTGCTTATTCCTCAGCAGCTCAACAGGAGCTGACCTGGACCGGGGAAACAGAGGGCAGGTCAGTCAGCGGCACAGGTCAATCCAGACTCGGCCCGGCGACGGAGAACAGCATCGGCCGGACCGGACCACACAGACGGACATGAATGAACACAACAGCTCAAAGCGCGAATGACAGAGCCATGCAGAAGCCGACGTACCCTATTCATAACTTGTATAAAAACGTTGTTGTTGTTTGCGTTATATCGAAAACTATATTTCTAAACAAGTTAAGTAGTCACATACGCTGTGAGTGTTATCATCTACAACAGCCGATCGAAGTGACGATGAAATGTGACACTTATGAAAGTGAAGATCTTGAGCTCTGGAATATGGGGATTTACGCACCATCAAATAATGACGCCTCGGACAGCTGTCACTCAGTAATGATCTTACCTCTCCGATCCTTGATTTTCTCTATCACCCCGCTGCTGCCTAAGATCCGCTGTCGAGCCTCGGCGTACTCAGCTTCCCTCTGAAACACAACGGCATCATTAGAACGACTCACCAACTAATGAGAAAGTCCTGTTTCCTATCTATTGAGACTTTTCAACCAACGCGTATTACGCTAAAACTCTGTATTATTTGGGACTGTCGTAAACTCACCAAAAATGTGAAGTTTGTTTCATTGTTAATCGAACCAACACTTATTTGAAGAACCCGGACGAATCAACATCCTCCCCTCCCCCATTCTCCTTTCACGGTGTTATCTAAACAACATGCGGAGACCGCTCTCTGCTCCCTCCCGCTTCCCTCACCTGCTGCAGCGTCTTTGCCGGCTGCCGGCTGCGCTCCTGCTCGTTACGCCGCTCCCGGTTGGCCTGGTCGGGCCGCTTCAGGATGGTGATTTGCGGCCCGGCCGGCACGTACTGAGTGCGGCCGGCCTCGTCCCCCTGAACGCGAACCATGAGTCTCTCCTGGGGGCCGGGCCGCGCCGCCGCCGCCGCCCGCTCCTGCTCCCTGCTCAGACGTAGCTGTTCGAGCTGTCGGTCCAACTCCTGGGGAGCGACAGCGATGGAGTGAGTGGCAGCTAGCCAACAGGTACCTATCCTTTTACAAACTTCGTCACATTTAAGGATTCCATTCCGACAAACATAAATCTAAGAAGAATTGTGAGCGCTAGTATTTTTAAACTGCGATGCAAAAAGGATTTCGGACCACTAAAGATGAAGTTCGAAGGCATTAAATCGATAAACATTCACGAAAGTGAAAGTCATAACATGTTCTTGAGCAGTAATTTTGTGTGAGGCAATGGTTCTTATAGATTTGTTTGCCCACTGTTAAGCGCAAACCGCGTCTGCACTCAAGCGGTGCAATAGTGATTCTGGACGTAACAGAAAAAGCAACTGAGACTTCCGACACTCCCAACTCACCAGGCATGATGTTGTCGAGTATGTTGTGCTCGTGTATTGCGCCATTCTCATCATGCGTCAAGTTGTAAAATGTGAGGTAAGCCAACTTGACCCGTCTATACGTCGGTACGTTTGGAGGTTCGCCAGTGCAATCATTTGCATGGGAAAGTATGTGTGTTGCTGGCAAACAATACGTGAAAACTCTGAATGTATTTGCAAAAAGCAAAAGATGCACATTAGCTGTCTGGAATTGCTAATAACAGTGTCTCACTTACGAAAACAACTAAACATATTCTCTTCCCTAAGAAGTGAAATGAAAACAGCTGACAGCTACGTTCACACTTTCGAACAGACAGGCACATTTTACCAGGCACATGACCGAATCACGCTTCTCTCCAACATCACTCCAGGTAATCGAAGTTCTCTGGGATGCCAAACTGTTTGTCGATCACGGCCTCCTCCATGGCGAACTTGCGTTTGCACCAGGTTTTGATCTGGCACACGTTATCCGTCCAGCGGTTGGCCGCCTCTGTGGCCGTGGTCGATTCGCGCCTCAGCGCCGCCAGGGCCTCCGGGTCGCAGTCCTTGTACCTGCTGATCTCAGCGTCCAGCTCGGCGCGGCGCCGCTGACTGTCCGCCAGCTGCTGCAGCAGCTCACTGCGCTCGGCGCCCTCCTCACGGCCCACGCCGGCCTCCGCCAGCTGAGTCTCCAGCGCGCGCCGCTTCTGCCGCGTCTGCGCCAGCTGTGTCTCCAGGTTCGCCAGCTTCCGTTTGCGGGCGGCGGCGCCTTTGCTGGGAAACGCCCAGAAGTAGACAGAGGTACCGATTTTATCGGTATCCACCAGTCCGTCGTCGACCAGGCTTTGGATCACTTCCTTCACCGACTGAGAGACGACACCCTTCTCCTTGGGGCCGAGCCGCTCCAGCTCCTTCAGCTGGAAGAAGTCCTGCCGCTCGTACAGCAGGTCCAGCATCCGGGTCCGCTTCTCCTCGGCACTGACACCCTTGCGCTTCGACATTATCGGGACCGGGCCACTTCTACCAAACAGTCGACAGTATGGTCTGCAAAGTCTTAAGGTGTCTTTACGAGCAGCGATTTCCCAAAAATTTCAGAGATTCGTCCAAGCGTTAGGGCAACTCACATTCCCTCACTTTCATGCGGATCAGCAGTGCACTGGTCACCCAGCAAGCCTCGCCTATCCAAGAGAGTCTTATCGTTCGTTCTCCTGCAAGCCTCGGCGACAGGCGCCTGGCGTCCTTCTTCCGTGTCAGAGGGCTCAGTTGTTGCGAGGTGCTCCGCCAGCCGCTCGTCTCTGCACACACGGGGTAGAGACAGACACTCAGAATGGCTTACGTCTTGTTGAACTTGCTCATTAGGTACTGAATTCAGTTTTTCATCATCCCTAATCAAGTTAATCATGTGGAAAAAAGGCAGAATCGGTGCCTGAATTAGTTCAAGTTGAAGAATGCCTGTTGCAGCCGGGGTAAAGAGAGCGTAATATTTTCCTTCACGATTTCTTGCAAATTCATCTAGTGTGTATTTCAATGGCATGTGTAGGTAACTCATTCAATAAGGCGGTCAGTGAAAATATTAACTTTGCTCAGCACCCAAGTCAAACTCACTAGCAACTATGTAATTGTAATGACGATCAACTCAAGGTCGGAACTTTCCCAATCGCTCCAGTTTTACATTAAATTGACTATGTTGTATACGGTGGTTTTACCAGCTTTACCAAAAGAAAAACACCGGTCGCGGTTTTTGCCTTACGTCGCCCTCGAAATTCGAATTCCACCAACACGCGAAAAAAAAAACGCTGACGTGGAAATAATATCAGCCAGCCAAATCGATATGTTTTCACATAATCGATTTTTTCACCTATTTGGTTCAACTTGTGAGACTTTTAGGAGCAAAAATACCGGAAGCCGGTGATTTTACTGTTAGAAAAACTGGCGTCTGTTGTGTCATCTGTCGTCGGTCCCGTATCTCAATTGGCAGAGCATCGACCTCGCGGTGGCGAGACGACGGGTTCGAGACAGTCACTCTTGTGCTGAGATTAAATACTCCTGATGGAGATGGACAGCACTCAATATTGCCTGATTGGATGAAGGGATCAGACCTTGATCAGCAAGGTAGGAGAGGGAGGGATAAAAATCCTTTTATAGTATCATTTGGCATATCTTACCCCAGAATCAGCAGCTTCCTCCCAGCTGTCTGCGACCTCTGACTCTGCCTCTTCTACACTCTGCAATAAAACAACACTCCAGTCAACAGCTAGACGAACAGGTTAAGTACTTAACAGTGTTAACTACTGGAAGTTTGGACCCTCCTCATTGATAATGCTTCAAATTAAACAATAATGAGATTATTTATAAGATACTGCACTGCAATGCATTTCTAACTGGGAGTTATCTAAGTCTCATAACTGAAATAATATGTAATGATCTTTTTATGATCATTTTTGTTTACTCCTCACCAATAGAATAAAGGGCTAAACATATTAAGTGGTGCTGGATTGGTACCTATGTTGAGCAGCATTAATATACTTGCAAAAAACACCACAGCACATCCTGGAAAAGGGGACTTATATGTGCATTGTCAAAACATAATCTTACCATTGAGTTTGTTCACTGATAAAGCACTTGAAGGGCCTTGGGATTCAGTGTTCAAAATCAGCAAACATTGAAATAATATTCTCTCAGATCAATGCCTAGTATTTCCATCAATCTGAAAAAACAATCAGCATGTGAGAGAAATATATCTGGTAAATCAGGCTTCATTTGCTGAGTGATGCAATAACTGTTAATAAAGAACACTAGTTGCACATTGACAAAAGTCGTGTTAACAGCAGTATTCTAATTACCATAAATACAGAACACTAACTTTCAAGGAGTAATCCCATAAGGGACCATATAACTCTGAAACACTGTTATGCAAAGCTTGATACTTAGGCATCCCTGCATGCATGAGTCTAAGTCATCATACTCATCGGTAAAATACACATTTGGAAAGTGCCCTTCATAATCTAGCAACATGCTGTTGTTCAGAGTGACCAAGCACCAAATGAAAGCACCCATGCTTTGAAGATAAGCTACAACTGTAAAAAAATAACTGCTTAGCGCAAATTATCCTAAAACTCAGAAAACAATCTCAGTAGGCGGAACTATGGTCAAGCGTGCCCATTTTTGGGAACGCATTTTCGTTCCCATGTTTGGGAACGATAAACCCAAATATGGGAACGCCATGTAGGCAGTGTTTAAAACAAGAAAAAGAACCGTTAAATGACGTCCAAAAAATATAAAACGATCGTAAACCGCCTGATATTTGTCTCAATATTGTTGGGAAAGAGTTTGATATTGTAAGGCCCATCGTAGCTTCAAATCGTTCCTCTATTTCTAAAGCATTCCACCGCCCGGGCCGCGTGCCCAAATTTGGGAACGCTCTCGTACACTGGCGCTGCAAGCGTTCCTTATTATAGGAACGGCGTACCCAAAACTGGGAACGATTTCACCGACGCCTTTCACGGGCTCTTTTCATTAACAAGCATCACATCCAACGCCGCAGGTTATTGTTAACGCAACAATCATAAGATGACCTTTCCGGCAAGACCGCCGCATGTTTCGCCGGGTCTTCTGCGCTCTTATTCCCGTCGATCCCGCAGCGGGCACGCCCCCCTCTGCAGGATTACGTAATTCACAACGCTCGGCGATGTTCAACATGGTCTTCCATGCCTACATACACCGTCCGCGCCGAGGGTGGAGGCATGTAAAACACCTGTCTGTTTAACACTGATGGTTGACGAGCACAACTAAGTATCCAAAAATGGGAACGCTGAAATGCTTCACTCTCAAAACACCTAGCCCCAATATAAATCTACTTTTTTCCTTTCTTAATGAGTGTAAGTGGCAAAAAGCCTGGTAGGATGGGCACGAGAAATGATCAAAATCAGCATAAAAATTATAAATAAGCCACACAGGGCGACCTGCATAAAAGAAATTCCCCAATAACGGTCGTGCTTAAAAATACCGAAGGCAAAAACCACGCTCATGACGCTCCTTAAAAGCAACGCTAAACAGCTAGCATCCAAATAAAATATGTCTTTCAGGGTTGATAAAATGCAGCTGAATAATTTTCAACCACTTAAACTGAGTTTACAAAAGTAGTTCGGTAAATTCACTCACGTTCCACGCGGTCGTCCGCTCCGACACCAAAAGTCAACAATATTACCTCGGGACCATCCGCGTCTTCGCTTTCATTTGTCAGCATCTGGTGTCGATAGTATGAAAGTTCATAACCAGGCAAAAATTATTATACTTTACCTCAAATTAAAAAAATGCTTCATTTTCCTTAAAATTGCATGTTAAATGTCATATAACCCATATTTCCACCATTCTGTCATTTTTAAAAAATCATTAAAAATATCATTCCACGGTCAATTTCCTTGTTCCACGGTCAGATTAAAGATAACTTTATGGAGATTTAGTAGATACTTTAATTAGCATGCACTTTTTTGAGACGTGATGCACTAATGAGTTTTAGTGGGCGAACGGCCGAAAAATTGCCTTCCGTTCTCATAAATGGGAACGCCCGTTCCCATATTTGGGAACTCGGTTCCCAAAAATGGGAACGTTCCTATATTTGGGTACTCATGACCATAGTTCCGCCTACTGATCTGCTGGGTGGATTGGTGCCTACTTGGTTATACTTAAAATGTGTGTCTGGATACTTGAAACTCACATTATAGGTAGGCATTTTCCACCAAAAAGGAAAACATGACATTTTAGAAATAAACTTGGAACAATGAATTGACATCCAGTGATCCAGTTATTATCAATTGTTTCTCGTAACTCTGCAATTTTATATTTTTACTTTTATCAATAACATACAAAACAAACAACAAATGTAGGTACATAGCAATGTAATAATTTTACAGATGAATTGAAAGCTGGCTCCACCTAATCAAATTATCAAAAATAGGTTAAATCAATAATTTTCTTAAAATTTTTATGAGTAAAATGCAAGATGAAATATCAATCCCTTTCGGAAATATAACGTTGCTCGGCACATTACCCAAGCATTTTACGGGGTAGAATCAAGCTTGAAATTTATGGTTCTGTATTTTCGGATCCATTAATCATTTAACAAACACGAAATAAATTTAAAATATAACACTAACACGAACCACGGACTCGTTCACTTTACGCAGCAATGCGCAGTTCTTGTCGTGAAATCCCGGGCGGTGAGAGCACATGAAGTAAAAAGCTGCAGTATTTAATATATTGCCAGACACATACAAAACAAGCTTAGCTTTTCAAGTGTTAGTCATGAGTTTGAGATAAAAATGCATTGCGTTTTGTAATCTTACTGTAAATACTTGAAAGGTGAATGGTAGTCGACGGCGACGGGCATTGTAGGCTTTTAAGAAGCAGTGACTTTGAGTTTCATCTTTTATTAATAGTTTCAGTGTTTGAGAGTCAGATATTGTTCTGCTTTTCTTTATTCTAACAATCTCAACATCAAGTTTGCATCGTGCATTTGATAAAACAGGAATTTTGGATAAGAGCGTAGTGAATGGGTCGTGAATCCCCTATGAGATGCTTTGGTAAATCGTACTTTATATTTGTGTCGCCAGATGTCACCCGGCAAATGGGCTGTTCACTTTGCTGTGCGCTGCCCTCTAAAGATTAGGTTTATAGTGGCTTTGCTTCTATATTTTGAGGGTAAATTACTTTAAAGTACATATTTTTAACTAGAAGAAAAAAAGGTGTATCCATTGAGCTGCTTGGTCAGTCATGTTAATCCTCAGACTTTAAAAAATTGCCAACCCGGGCTTTCTTACCAGACCCACCCCGGACTGACTGCATCCACCATTGGCCAGTCCACACCCAAGCGAATTGGTGTGTCGTGAAGGATGGTATTTGGATTCGTGATATATCCCATTTTTATATATGTGACCCGTGGAAGATAAGAGAGGGTGGTGCACCAACTCGTGGACATGCCACGAATCTTTTTATTTTTGTTTTGCATGTGATGATGTGTTAGAAGAGCGCGGGGAACAAGGCGAACTCCCAGAAGTCGGCGAAGGGAAGCCGCGCTCAGCCATACCTACCTACGATGTTCACTTGCTGTTTGTCGGAAGAAGCTATACAGCAAATTAGAATAAACCAGGAAATTGAGAAGCAGCTGAAGAGGGACAAGAGAGATGCAAGAAGGGAGCTTAAACTACTGTTGTTGGGTAAGGTTTACGTTCATTCAAATCAAAATTGAAATGTATACAGAAAAGCAGTGGCGCGGGAACTTCTTCCAGACTGGGGGGGGGGGGGGCTGAACCATCATAGAGATCAACCTAGGGTACCCCCAAATCTAGTTTTCTCATCGGTTTTAGGCCACTTATTTTTCAGACCTTGGCCTTTTCAACGAAAAAAAAGGAGAATATTTGCAAAAAAGTGAGGTATTCCGTCTCAGCTGAGTGAAGAAACTACCGTTTTGGCAACCTGAAATAAAGGTTTTAAGCTGCCAAATGAGTTGCCGAGTCAGTAAAATAGGTAGAATTTTCACTCACATGCTTTCTTCCTTTGTGACTGACAACCCCTAATTTGGGGAGGGCAAGCTGCCCCAACGGTTCCTGGCCTCATGAAAAGTTGTGAGGCACCGCCCCCACGGCCCCAGAGTTGTGAGGGCAAGCTTCCCCCACTGCCCTCTCCCCCGGTTCCCGCGCCTATGTATGAATCTATGAAATTGTGTTGGTAGATTTCCGATTTCGATTCCTCCAGCTGGGGGGGGGGGGCTCAAAAACATTACGAGCCCCTCAGCCGAAAAGTTGGAGGGGCTCAGCCCCCCCTAGCCCCCCCGGTTCCCGCGCCACTGCAGAAAAGCTGAAGGTGTTTACCAGAATGTCTTTCTCCTTATGTTTATTGAATTTCATCAGTCCGGTCCATAATCACTCCATATACATTGACAATACGATCAATCATTCTCATGGGCCCTTGTGGACGGTCCGCTGTGGCCAGTCCCGACCGGCCACAGTGATCGCTGTGTGCGGTGACGGAAGGCTGACGTAGGGACGAAGTGGGCGGAGCTTCGAGGCTGTGTGCGGTCCGACCGCACACAGGGCCCGTGAACAGCCCTCTGGTCCTGTGTACCCTTACCTGGACCATGATAGGATGGGGATAGGCTCCCACTTACTCCTAGTGGTTGTTGGTTATTCTTGATTAGTGCACTTACAGATCATTCACCATTGATATACCAGATAGATACCTACTACTTTATCCTTCTTGGAGAACTATCTACCTTTTCCTAATTGAATCATCTGACTATCCAAATTTCAGTGTGTGTAATGTTTTTGTGACCCATGGCCATATTTTACCTTGCTTTACTGTGATATTGTTAGTGGTTAGTGGTTACTCACGAAATCACAAACCATTATGTTGAATGTACTAAACCAAGATGTTGTGCCTGCCATGATTCTGTCCTTGTCACTTATATTTTCTGAGTTTGTTGTAACTGCTTGACCCTGGTCTGGCTGCTGTGGCTGCTATCACTCCTTGTCAGAGTCAGAATTGATCAGCTATTTTTTCCAGTTGCTACCCAAACATCATGCTTTGTGATTGTTCAGTCACCAATGTGTGTTCAAGTGTTTATCACACTTCTGGATCTATGTTTAAGCTGTTATCTGTTTCTGGCATTTGTTCTACAAACATCTAGCCAACATTTTCCTGTTCGTGAGTATAATTTGTTCTTTAGTATTTCTGTCACTACCTTTTGAGGTGCCCTTTGCCACAGTAATCATCACATATATTAACACTGAAGCACACTTGATCTTGCAAGCCATTGGCTACATACTCACCTGGTTAACTCACCTGGCTTGGTTCCCAGTGTCATTTAAGGAAGGCAGAAAGTGGTTAGGAGCGGGAACTGAAACACTGACTCCTAATGATAAAATAAATTCTGATCCTGAAAATGTATCCAACCATGACATGTAGTGTTCACTTAAGCATGGTCCTGTGCCAACCAAAACATGATCATAATTTTCTTGTCTCATATCATCTTCCCTTGTTACCAATAAATGGCTGTCCTCTAATTGTGCTGTTTAAAGAAAGAAAAAACTCTGTAAGTGCTGAACAATGTGAAACCCTGTGCTGAACAGATGCTTAAAGTCTTCACCATGCTTATTTTCAGCAAGAAAACTACTCAGTGCCATTTACTATGCCACCAGCTGATTCCTGTTGAATATTCAGGCATTCCATTTGCTTGGTATCCTCATGTCCAGTTACTTGGTTGTAACATTTTCTAGGTACCCTAATTGGCACATCTCCTTATTCCATTGGCATATTCTGTCTCTTTTTCTAAATAAATTACATTGATTCCATTCATTTTCTCTACTATAATTGCTGATCTTTTTGCAGCTGCTGGAATATTGCCACCACCAGTGACAATGCCTAGCAGTGCCAATATCATCATGTCCCATTCATGGTCCTGGATTTTTTTTCTAGCTGCACCTTATCTTTCTGCTTGCCTGTACTAAGCTGAATTGGTGTTCATGTCACTTAGTCACTGACTGGCTCACATTGATAATGAGGAATCTGCCCAATACCACTGGCAAAAGCCATTCATTGATGAGTGTTGATAATACCTTCCTCTCTGGCCACTGGCCACTACACTGAGCTGACTTAATTTGACTTGACTTGACGTATTCGTATTGTGCTCACTGCTCACACACTCAAATATGTGCTAAAACTGTTGCTCAACAGACCATTAAGGCTGCTAGTAGCTTTTTGTGAAGCATTTACCTGTCACTCATGTTATGAAAATAGGCACTGACCATTCTTTGTAAATGTCACTTATGTATACATAAGTATACATACATAAGTATCATAAGACAATAGCATACATGCTATTGTAAGGGTAGGTCCTTTTAAACAGTCAAAGTACAAAGAGAATCCTAGGATTGTCATCACATGCCTGCATTGCTAGCTAGGACTCCCTGTCATACATGCCTTGTTCTCATGTGAAATGGTTTGCCATGCTAACTTAGCATGTTCTCAGCTGTCACCACACACTACAGTAGAGTTTTGAATGGATCTGCACCTGAAGACACTGTTGAAATACTATTATGTGTCTGTACCACTTAAACCTGCCACTATGACACTAGCAGATGTTATGTTGTACCTGTGCTGTCTTCTGATTACATTATTCTTCTCTTTAAACACTAGCAAGCTATCTTGTTTCTACTGAAGCCAACTAATCCTCCCTTTGATGTTACCAAAAAGGCCACCTTCCCGTTTGCCAGTACCCAGCAACAGAAGTTTGTCTCTACAGCTGGCACCACTCTCTTGTTTCATATTAGATACTAAGCACCTCTCTTTTATGGTCATTGGACGCAATGCTTCATTCTAGGTACTCATATTTGGCACATGGTCCTACTCTCTTTGTTTTGGAATGGGCCTTGCAGCAATTATCTCACTTTCGGTATAAGAAGTTAAATCCTTGAGGAACATACATATGTGACATTGCTCTCTAGAACCCTTGTAGCCTTAAACATTTACCCTAACATAAACCAGGAAGTGCTGCCTGCACATTCACTGGGTCTATGGCATTACTAACCAAAGTATGAACTGGCCTCTAAGTGTGTTTAGAAGTGTAGGCGTGTCATGTCTTGTTTGTTATTGGTCTATTGTGCTAAGCATTTGTGTAAGTAGTCTGTTGATGACAATTATGTACTGTTTTTCTCTATCACCATTGACTCAATGATGACTTCAGTCATGTGTTGCACTGACCTGTTGTGTTTACTTATATACACTGTGGTGTTTACTTTGTCTGACCATCTTTTTTCCTCTGTTTTTATTCGCCAAGCATGGGCTGTATTTCTTTGAAGCATTCTATAAATCTGTCCCATCCAGCGTGTGTTTGGTGTGCGAAAGCTCCCATTTAACCATGACGTGCTCGATGTCTGTCGCCAGGAACGGGAGAGTCAGGGAAGTCGACGTTTATCAAACAGATGCGCATCATCCATGGCGTCGGATATACGGACGAGGATCGGCGCGGCTTCACCAAGCTCGTCTATCAGAACATCTTCATGGCCATGCAGAGCATGATAAACGCCATGGAGAAGCTAAAAATTGAGTACAAACAACCGGAAAACAAGGTGAGGACACAGCAGCTGCACAGTGCTCAACCACTGTCTAAGTGCAGTCGTGTGGTGTGTGTTTTATTGTATCATTGGCTGCATTTATTGACTACGTTATGCGACTCTCGATTTCATCCAACGTCTACTCACTTCGCTGTCCAATGACCCACGAACACACAGATTATAAACATCAGGCAGCAAATAATTGTCTAGGTGTGGGAGACGCCTTGCCCAGGTATTGCTGGCACACCTGGAGGTATGCTAGAGATGATGAATGATGCAGTGGCTTTTTCCGCATGTCAAAGTCTGAATGCTGGATAGCTACTGTCTTGGTAGCATCAACACCAAATCGAAAGCCGGCACAATTGACTACATTTATGGCTAAAACAATCAATCCTTCAATTCCATCAATGAGGGTGTCGACTGTCGAAAGATGCGAAATGCATCAGCGCTATATCTCTAACATCGTT